TGATAGAGGGCCATGAGACTTAGACCTGAGTGCAAAAATGGAGGCTCTAGCCCCTTCCAGAGCTGAGATATCGAAACTCAAAAATTCGGCCCGAAAAAAAAACGACAGTGGTACCCCTTACGTTTTTTTTTTTGGGCGAAAAATTAAGTTTCTCCAATCTTCCCAAATTCTGATAGAGGGCCATGAGACTTAGACCTGAGTGCAAAAATGGAGGCTCTAGCCCCTTCCAGAGCTGAGATATCGAAACTCAAAAATTCGGCCCGAAAAAAAAAACGACAGTGGTACCCCTTACGTTTTTTTTTTTGGGCGAAAAATTAAGTTTCTCCAATCTTCCCAAATTCTGATAGAGGGCCATGAGACTTAGACCTGAGTGCAAAAATGGAGGCTCTAGCCCCTTCCAGAGCTGAGATATCGAAACTCAAAAATTCGGCCCGAAAAAAAAACGACAGTGGTACCCCTTACGTTTTTTTTTTGGGCGAAAAATTAAGTTTCTCCAATCTTCCCAAATTCTGATAGAGGGCCATGAGACTTAGACCTGAGTGCAAAAATGGAGGCTCTAGCCCCTTCCAGAGCTGAGATATCGAAACTCAAAAATTCGGCCCGAAAAAAAAAACGACAGTGGTACCCCTTACGTTTTTTTTTTTGGGCGAAAAATTAAGTTTCTCCAATCTTCCCAACTCTGGATTCTGATAGAGGGCCATGAGACTTAGACCTGAGTGCAAAAATGGAGGCTCTAGCCCCTTCCAGAGCTGAGATATCGAAACTCAAAAATTCGGCCCGAAAAAAAAACGACAGTGGTACCCCTTACGTTTTTTTTTTGGGCGAAAAATTAAGTTTCTCCAATCTTCCCAAATTCTGATAGAGGGCCATGAGACTTAGACCTGAGTGCAAAAATGGAGGCTCTAGCCCCTTCCAGAGCTGAGATATCGAAACTCAAAAATTCGGCCCGAAAAAAAAAACGACAGTGGTACCCCTTACGTTTTTTTTTTTGGGCGAAAAATTAAGTTTCTCCAATCTTCCCAAATTCTGATAGAGGGCCATGAGACTTAGACCTGAGTGCAAAAATGGAGGCTCTAGCCCCTTCCAGAGCTGAGATATCGAAACTCAAAAATTCGGCCCGAAAAAAAAACGACAGTGGTACCCCTTACGTTTTTTTTTTTGGGCGAAAAATTAAGTTTCTCCAATCTTCCCAAAACTCTGATTCTGATAGAGGGCCATGAGACTTAGACCTGAGTGCAAAAATGGAGGCTCTAGCCCCTTCCAGAGCTGAGATATCGAAACTCAAAAATTCGGCCCGAAAAAAAAACGACAGTGGTACCCCTTACGTTTTTTTTTTTGGGCGAAAAATTAAGTTTCTCCAATCTTCCCAAATTCTGATAGAGGGCCATGAGACTTAGACCTGAGTGCAAAAATGGAGGCTCTAGCCCCTTCCAGAGCTGAGATATCGAAACTCAAAAATTCGGCCCGAAAAAAAAACGACAGTGGTACCCCTTACGTTTTTTTTTTGGGGCGAAAAATTAAGTTTCTCCAATCTTCCCAAATTCTGATAGAGGGCCATGAGACTTAGACCTGAGTGCAAAAATGGAGGCTCTAGCCCCTTCCAGAGCTGAGATATCGAAACTCAAAAATTCGGCCCGAAAAAAAAACGACAGTGGTACCCCTTACGTTTTTTTTTTGGGCGAAAAATTAAGTTTCTCCAATCTTCCCAAATTCTGATAGAGGGCCATGAGACTTAGACCTGAGTGCAAAAATGGAGGCTCTAGCCCCTTCCAGAGCTGAGATATCGAAACTCAAAAATTCGGCCCGAAAAAAAAAACGACAGTGGTACCCCTTACGTTTTTTTTTTGGGCGAAAAATTAAGTTTCTCCAATCTTCCCAAATTCTGATAGAGGGCCATGAGACTTAGACCTGAGTGCAAAAATGGAGGCTCTAGCCCCTTCCAGAGCTGAGATATCGAAACTCAAAAATTCGGCCCGAAAAAAAAACGACAGTGGTACCCCTTACGTTTTTTTTTTTTGGGCGAAAAATTAAGTTTCTCCAATCTTCCCAAACTCTGGATTCTGATAGAGGGCCATGAGACTTAGACCTGAGTGCAAAAATGGAGGCTCTAGCCCCTTCCAGAGCTGAGATATCGAAACTCAAAAATTCGGCCCGAAAAAAAAAAACGACAGTGGTACCCCTTACGTTTTTTTTTTTGGGCGAAAAATTAAGTTTCTCCAATCTTCCCAAAACTCTGGATTCTGATAGAGGGCCATGAGACTTAGACCTGAGTGCAAAAATGGAGGCTCTAGCCCCTTCCAGAGCTGAGATATCGAAACTCAAAAATTCGGCCCGAAAAAAAAAACGACAGTGGTACCCCTTACGTTTTTTTTTTTGGGCGAAAAATTAAGTTTCTCCAATCTTCCCAAAACTCTGGATTCTGATAGAGGGCCATGAGACTTAGACCTGAGTGCAAAAATGGAGGCTCTAGCCCCTTCCAGAGCTGAGATATCGAAACTCAAAAATTCGCCCGAAAAAAAAAAACGACAGTGGTACCCCTTACGTTTTTTTTTTTTCGGGCGAAAAATTAAGTTTCTCCAATCTTCCCAAAACTCTGGATTCTGATAGAGGGCCATGAGACTTAGACCTGAGTGCAAAAATGGAGGCTCTAGCCCCTTCCAGAGCTGAGATATCGAAACTCAAAAATTCGGCCCGAAAAAAAAAAACGACAGTGGTACCCCTTACGTATTTTTTTCACTCAGGTCTAAGTCCCATGGCCCTGTATCAGAATCCAGAGTTTCAAGAAGATTGGAGAAACTTGAAAGGGGTACCACTGTTGTTTTTTTTTTTTTTTGGGTCGAAATTTTAAATTTCTCTGATCTTCTTGAAATTCTGGATTCTGATAGAGGGCCATGGGACTTAGACCTGAGTGCAAAAATGGAGGCTCTAGACCCTTCCAGAGCTGAGATATTGAGATCCCACGTAGCATGTATGCCATTATACATATCTCAATATCTCAGCTCTGGAAGGGTCTAGCCTCCATTTTTGCACTCAGGTCTAAGTCCCATGGCCCTCTATCAGAATCCAGAGTTTCAAGAAGACAAGAAGATACCTGTATGTGTGTTTACAGGGGTTTCACGTCAGATACCTGTCCTAACTGTACATGTGTATCAGATACCTGTGTGTGTGTTTACAGGGGTTTCACGCGAGATACCTGTCCTAACTGTACATGTGTATCAGATACCTGTGTGTGTGTTTACAGGGGTTTCACACGAGATACCCGTCCTAACTGTACATCTGCATCAGATACCTGTGTGTGTGTGTTTACAGGGGTTTCACACAAGATACCTGTCCTAACTGTACATGTACATCAGATACCTGTGTGTGTGTTTACAGGGGTTTCACGTCAGATACCTGTCCTAACTGTATATGTGCATCAGATACCTGTGTGTGTGTTTACAGGGGTTTCAGGGAACAAACACGTCACAATATTCCTCATTTAAATAATTCCTGCCCAAGGCATACGCAAAATAAAGGGGAGAGGCCTGGTTGAGTGATATTAATAGGCTGTCCCAATTCGAAGGACTCGAATTTTAACTCACTAAAAACAAAACAGGGATCACAACCTGTCTAAATATGTTCAGGTTTAGCCCATTTATATACATAATAGAGTATAAACTATTTTAACTATATAGTATAAACTATATAAAATCGCATCTTGGTAAGATGTCAACATTTGAACCGCTTTATTTTTTTACATAGTATTATTATATATTCGATTAAGTTGAAGGCTAATACTTTTAAAAGTGTAATCCGCCTAATCCGTGCAATTTCTGTAAAAAAAAAAATCTTAATTTTTGAGTGTGAAATTTATTTTTAAAAAAAGTCGTCATTAGCCTGCAATTAATTCTAGGGTACACAAGGGCGCGAGGAATCCATCCGTTTATCCTTCATTTCTCAGAACGCGAAGGACGCATTTGGAGCCTTTAAATTGGGACAGCCTTTGTTGCAGCGTGGCGATGCAATCGGCCTTCGAAAGATGCAGCCTCTGAATTGGGAATTTGGGACACATTGTTAGTTTGTTGAAACACGTTTATGGAAAAGGCCATGACATTTTGCAAACACCCTCAAAGCGGTTGACCAATCACAAAACACTGGTCCAGCCGACCAATCAGAGCACATTGCGCTTTCTGGGAGGAGGGGCTTCATAGAGACCAGAACTAAACTGGGCTGCTTTTCCCGTACAACGACGTAACTGCTTAACTAGTTTAATGCATCTTTGAAGAAACCAACTAACTAGTCTTTAGTTTTCCAAAACCATATTGTTGCAAATTGATCGTTCAACCACGTTGATTAATGATGTCACGCACGTGGAGGAGTAATACTACTACTTTCAATTAATCTGTTTGAAATCAGAAAAATGCTAGATGATTTGCTATTTCTACTATTTCTCATTTTTCTCGGTTATTTTGCCTTGTTTCCAGAATCAATCATAGGCTGGTTCTTACATACGTTTGCACATCCGCACTCTTCAAAAACTGTGCTTTAAATCTCGACAAACTAAACGACGTAAATTACATTTGTATGTATTCTAAATAAGACACTGACTGTACTCAATAAGCTTACTTATTGAGTTCACATTCATGCTCAACAAGAAACTTCTAACCACAGGTCGAGAGCTGTCGTTCGAACCACACAACTTTGCAATGCTGTTTGCGAATATTCGTTAGAACGATGGTTTCGGGAAACATCTTCATGTTGAACTATGCTGATAACGACAGAGCTTGCGACCATGGTTGGCTAACCATGCTTTTGTGAAACGCACCCCAGTGTGTTACTGACAGACTGGGTAGAGAGGTGCTGCAACAATGAAATATGCGAAAAATAATGTTTTTTGAACATTAAAGCATGAAAACCTGTTCTAATTGACCCTAAGACTTAGTAAAACATTTTTAATGACATTTTTACCCTTACCCAAATAAACATGAACCTTGAGAGAAAATTCAAAAACAAGTCTTGATTTTTTTTTTTTATTGTTTAATATGCACATACAAGTAATGTGAAATGTTACAACTTTTTATGTATTATTACGTAGCTGAAGAATAAGGATCACTGAAGGTGAAAGGTTTGTGATTAGCTTTTTAGCTAAACGTTCAAAATCTGGATTCTCAATCTTCAAAGCCTACAACATCTACAATAAACGCGAGTTCAAAATGATGTTATATTTACACTTAATAAAAACACTCAAAAGTTTTGAAATTTCAATTACATATTGCAAGTACAATACACCGATAAATGAACAGAAATGTGTCATTCCAGTGTGCAAACTCAAACTTTATTGAAGTTTCTGTTTCCTACAAGCACACAATCATCAATGAGAACTAAAGAGAAAAGCTCCTGCGCTGATGAATTGTGTAGAAATCAGAACTGGGATCATAGAATCGCCAGATCCAATCATGGTTTTACCACCACTGTGATATACAAAAAGCAAAAGATCATTTTCAATACTTTTGGTCAAAAAATAGAAAGGTCCTAACATTTTGGTCTTTTTGTTCTTTGAGTTAAAAAATATATCAAATAAAATGTTTTCCTAAAGTATTCCTGAGTAGGGCCAAAGATTCCGAGCACTGAAAAATATCCAAATGCTTCATTTACCTGATGAAAACTAAATTTGGTGATTACCAATAAATAAGAATTTCACTAAAAAAATGTCTCTTCATTTTCACACAATCTTTACAATATAACGGTAAAGCTTGCGATATGACCCAATGAAAACATAAATCACTGTGTGTATCATTCTGACGGATGATTGTTCCTTGGTAACTGGGTGCAGAAACGATTTCTTACGCGCATGGGTCAAGGTCAAATGTAATTCTACCAGCGATGGTAATCAAACGCACATAACCACAAACTCCAATACTGACATATTGTTGGTGCACTACGGCAGTACACATGCAGGCGTTATTCAATATTTTGGAGAACACAGTAAAGGCAAGGAAAAGAGTTCAACAGTGGAGGGCCAACCTGTGTAAAGGTGCGGTCACATTTCACTGGCAAAAAAATCTCCAATGTCAATAGAGTGCCTAAAACACAGCTCACACAGAAGCCACTTTCAAAGCAAGCAGCCTACCGTTAGTCATCCACATGAAATCTGCGTGAAGAACTCTCTTACTCGCACGAAATTCCTGCTCATATGAAGCTTTTGGTCAACGCAGCGGATTCACGTGACCGACTTGAACAGGCGAAATTGAAATGACAGGATTTGGCCGAGCAACGGTAAATGTGACCGCACCTTAAAGCTATAGAAAAATATTCAATTCAACTTGTCAGACTACACCACATCCCAAAGTGATGCTACTCTAAAAGAGCTCACAGCAACAAGCAATTCCCACAGGGACAATGCGTCATAGGTCACGTACGTGTTCGATCATCTCGAGGGGAATACCGAATTAACAAATGTGAGCGTGAGCTCAGGCGACATTGATTATTCAGGAAATGAGCTCAGTCCTTCGGTTCCATCTCTGTACATCCCACATAAAGGAGCTTTTCTTCACACAGGGATATGGATATTGTGATGTCATTAATTGAGGACTTAATTGTCATGCTAATCCAGTTTGAGAGGAGGAGGAAGAAGAGAAAGGCTTTTCTTCACGTCTAATCGTCTTAGCGCTGCACCGCACGTCTCATTTCTCCCTGTAATACAGCAGATACATCTTCAGGGGTTCAGGTAACGGGAGTCTTAGGATCTTCTCCCTCAGGATATTAACGGGAGGCTCCACACGAGCGCAGCCGCTTTTGTTTTTCTCCTCTTCTGTGCCGGAGGATTCCTCCTCGTCCTCCTCAGGTAGGTCTTCTCTCATTCGGCGGCAAGCCCTTTCCTCTTCCTCCTCCACTTCCTCTTCGTCCTCTTCAACTCCTCCGGGGTAGTTGCAATCGTCCATGGCTGTGGGAATCATGGAGTCGTGGAGAACCATGGAGTTGACGCACTGGCGGTAGAAGCGGCGACAGAAGCGGCGCCTCTCGAAGCGGGGCCCGTAGCGGTGCATGGCTCGGGCCCCTGGGAAAGACACCCGTCTCTTTGTGCGTCCTTCACCCATAGCTATGGGCTGCCGGAGAGTGTGGCGGATAGCGATCCGGCACAGGTCCTGCAATGTCCGCACCTCAAAAATGGCTGGAAATTTGGAAAAACATAGGAAGGAAGATACATTTTTATTTTTTCCCCCCTATCAAATAATACTTTCTTATTTAGCTTTTATACAAGTGTATTGCAGTGTATTTGGCTTCTATAAATAAATCAGAAAAAAAAAATCTTGTTTTGCCAAACATTCTTGATGTGAACAGGCCTTAAGTCTCATCTATTAATAATTGATTATTTAGTTATAAAATTGATGATTTACTAATACACACACACAAAAGTTTTGGATCATTAAGATTTTTATGTTTTTAAAAGAAGTCACTTCTGCTCACCAAGGCTGTCGATACAAACTATTCCACATTTCAAATAAATGCTGTTCTTTTGAACATTCTATTCATCAAAGAATCCTGAAACTGAACAACAAACACAAAACTGTTTTCAACATTTATAATAATAAAAAAATGTTTCTTGAGCATCAAATCATCATATTAGACTGATTTCTGAAGGATCATGTGACACTGAAGACTGGAGTAATGATGCTGAAAATTCAACTTTGATCACAGGAATAAATTACTATTTTAAAATATATTAAAATACAATATTTTTCACAATATTTACTGTTTTAATGTATTTTTTTTTTTAATCAAACAAATGCAGTGTTGGTGAGAAGAGACTTCTTTAAAAAAATTCTTACAGATCCAAAACATTCAAAAATCTCTACAGCAAAAGGTCAAGCACTACATGCATTCGGTTTGTTTCTACCATTTATTAGTAATAATTTACAGTTTGTTTATTACTTACTATACCGAGCATTCAGTATTGTGCAATATAGCATACAGAAGGTGAGGGTCATTTTTGAGGGGAAAGAAGTGCTGCATTTTATCATTTAAACGTGATTTTTCATGAAAATTCTCCAATCCATGATTGCCGCCACCATATGACGTCACAATATGCAAATTAGATGGAAAAATGTAATTCCTACATAAACTTTGGGTCATCCTTGATATTTCTCTTATTTACAGAAAGTCTCTAACTGTCATCACTTTTAATATCGGAAATTAAAAATCGAATGTTTTAGGAAAATTCATCTGGCGCCTAAAGGGTTAAAGGGATACTCCAATTTTTTTTGGAAATAGGCTCATTTTACAACTCCCCCAGAGTTAAACAGTTGGGTTTTACCGTTTTCGAATCCATTCAGCCAATTTTCTGATATTTAGAAGAATACCAGTAACCAGACAGTTTCTGGTCTCATTGACTTCCATTATATATATTTTTCCTACTATGGAAGTCAATGGGAAGAGAAACTGTCTAGTTACTGATATTCTTCTAAATATCAGAAAATCGACTGAATGGATTCGAAAACGGTAAAACTCAAACGTTTAACCCTGAGGGAGTTGTAAAATGAGCCTATCCCTTTGATAAAGATGACTTATACTTATTTAGAATGCTGAGAATTATAGCGTTAACCGTTAATGTAGTAAAGGTTTTGGGTTGCATTTCGTATAATAATTATAAAGGTTCAGAGTTAGATTTGCTTTAATTCAGAAATACTTTCAGAGAACGATAAACATACTCATTGGACTTTATGTAGATAGTTTTGGTGTGAAAAATCATGTGTGGTTAGCGTCCGTGTTTATTTGTTTTGGACTGATTCCTCAGTGTACTCACGTAAAGGAACACTCTTAGGTCTGCCATTGACATTCTGTTTGGGCTGGACGAGCGGGGCAAAGGTCACAGCGATGATTTTCTTGGTCTCCCAGGAGCTCTGACTTGTGCGAGTGATCTTGGTCAACTGCAAAAGAGGTTCTTAGACAATAAGCCCTCAAGTCAGTAATTACTACACTAATTACATCATCCCATATGAACACTAATTACATGTGTGTGTACATTGATTTTGTGTAAGTAAAATGCAAATATATTTACGTAAAAATTTATCAATTTTATTTAGCGTTCCCCTTCCTCTTTAGGACCCTTTTTATGTCTTTTAACATTTAAGTCATGTATATGCCAGTTTTTATTAAATATATACATGTAAAATTTACTCACTCACAATGGGACGATCCGATTCCAATTCTGGGAGTCACGATCCGATTCCAAAACGATTCTTGAGCTACATTTTTTTCTTATTAATTAGTTTACCGACTTTAAATCTTACATTTATTTTTACATTCTTTAATTACTTATGTAATTAGAAAGTAGCCTATTTAAACAAAAACATGCAAGCAAATAGTAAATAAAGAGAAAACAAAGAAACATATTACAAGCAATAAACAAAGAGTGCTTATGGCCTTAGGCTATCTGAACATTTTCTGTGAGTGATTTTTCTCTTCATACACAGCAGGAGATCTAATAGGTTGCATTCACACGAATGCACAGAATTATTCTGACACATCTGATGTTCTGCCCTGTCAGTCAAATCCCTTAAACATAATTGACTATGTTTACACTAATTTTGAGATTAAGTGGGTTTGGTTTACACCGAGCAGGCGCGAGCATTCTTCACATCATTTGTGAAAGAATGTCGGTAAGTGTGTTTCGTGGTATATTGTATATATAGGGCTACTATACTGCATTCCAAATGGCATAAATGGTGCCTTCGTAGAGCACTAGGAAAGTAGAACACTGAAATGCCAGCGAGCGAGACTGAACACTGAACGAATTTTGCCGCTGTGACGATTACCAGTGTGGCCAATAGAAACTTTTTGGCATCCAAAAAGTTTTGAAAACTGGCGTAGCGCCGCACATTACGCGTCCTGTCTGAAAGCACCGAATCTAGCTAGACCGCAAACACACTTGTTGCGAGCCGGCCAAATAGTAGGTTAACGTTACGTTTTGAGTGGATGACGAGCGCGAGACGCCGAAATGGATGCCAATAAGATTCTGAATTGAAAGTTTACTTTTAAAAAGTTGACAAATTATTATTTTTTTTTATTGTGAACTGAGCTATCATTGATGGCCAAGCACACACACAGCTGATGGGAAGTTGTCAATGTGGTTTTCAATAAAAAACATTTGCGCAAAGCAAGCCAATCCAATTTTTCATGTTGAAAAAAGCATAAAAATTTGAAAAAATAATGGGACAAAAAGAAATCAAGAGACATTCAGAATAGATAAAAATGTGTGTTTAATTGCGATTAATCGCGAGTTAACTATGTCATTAATGCGATTAATCACGATTAAATATTTTAATCGTTTGACAGCACTAGTCATAACGCATCTGCGGTTAAAAGCTGATCCAGAGTCTTTGAAAAAAAGAGTCACGATGCATCCGAGAAACCATTTCTTCCATTAATTTTTCTTGCACCCCTTATATTAAACTCTCATCTTACACACATGGTCTTATCCAAGTATTTCCCAATAGACCTTATTGACAGCAGCGTCATCTTTGATTTTTAACGGGAATGAAAGCGACGCTGTGAGCGACAGACAGACATCAGACTTCAGTGAGTTACAGGGGGCGATTCTAGGATTTCAACATTATGGTATGATTAAAAAATATATATTATTTAATATATTGTTTGTGGCTATAAACAATAGCCTACAATAGGTTATACGCTACCTGTCAAGTCAATCCAATATTGATTTAATTTCTATTTTCTAATCATTTTAAATAACAAATTATTCATTGAGAATATAGACAAGCAGGATCAACATTTATCATTTTCATTCATGGAGATAACATGAAAATGTGCAATGCTGTTAGCGGAGGTTTGTCACCTAGTGGAAAACAAAAACAGTTTTAACAGAAAAATGACATGAAATTACAACTATTTGACACATTTGAGCAATTTTATTGTATTGAAACATGAAGTATAGCAAGAATAGGAGAAGTCACAAACTCTCATGGCGTTTAGATGAAAGGAACATTTAAAATAAATCAATAAGCCCAGATATTATGTGAATTGTATTTATGACAAAGAGCTACACAGATGTAGATGTCATAACAATCTATCAATAAATTCACACACAAGTTGTCCTCAGCATTTAAGGCTAAATAACCCGCTAAAATAAAGGGAGGAGCCGAAGCCTACTACCGTTTTCATGAGTTTTAAAGGGAACTGAGGGAATCACGAATTAGTGTACATATCATGGAGTTAATTGCATATTTTTAGGGGGGCTGAAGCCCTTCTAAAATGGGCCTAGTGATGCCCCTGGTGGGTTTTTGGATTGTTCTGCTGACAAAACACTGCAAAAATATAAATTTCAAAGAAATTAGAGTAGACCAAATAAACTGCAGACAACATGAGCCGTGGAAAATTATAAGTGATCCATTAGCTTTTTAAAAAATATGCCATTGAAAACACGGAGAGTCTATCTCTCACAGCCTCGCTGTCACGGCGCTGCTCTGAATAAGGTCTATAAAGTTCGACTAAAGCCATTGTGTATGTATTGCAACAGGAAGTGTGTCAACAGAAGAAAGAAATCTACACCCAAAGAATTTCAAAAGGCCTTTAAAAACGGCTGTGGAACAAGAACAACATAAGTAAACATGTACTCACCTTCTCCTCCAGGGGGAGCACTAAGATCCCGCCAACCTTTAGCAGGTTCTTCATGTAGTTCTCGTACTCTTTCTGAACTCCTGCACCACAGTACACCCGGTCATACTGCCGACTCTCCGGAGGGATCTCCAGACAGTTCCCCACCACAAAGGTCGGCTCACAGAACTCAAACCTGCGGTCATTGAGCACAACCAATTTATGGACAATTTGACAAATAAAAAAGAGCAAGTCAAAGCTGTTACAGGAAATGGCTCACTTGTCAAAGCTGTCGCTGGTTTTGATAAAGTAGTCGAGTTTCTGATACGCATATTCAACGACATCCGCATGCAGTTCCACACCGTGATTCACACCGAACGGACCTGATGACAAGAATGACAGGTATATATTTTTATATTTTATTAAACATAAATGTTAGGTGAACTATTCCTTTTTACGCAAATCTAACAAAGTCTAATGCAGGTTTAGGCTTAAAACAAGAAAAAATATATAGGCTATAAGCTACATTCAAGACAACTACTGTTCAAAAGTATGGTATTTTTTTTTTCTTCTGTTTTTTTTTTTTTTTAAAAGAAATGAATACTTTTATTCAGCAGGACATAAAATTGATCAAAACAGACAGTAAAGGCATCTATAATGTTACAAAATGTTACACGGTCTCCACAAAAATATGAAGCTGCACAACTGTTCTCAACTTATAATTATGAGAAATGTTTCCTGAGCAGCAAATCAGCATATTAATCATGTGACACTAAAGACTGGAGGAGTAATGATGCTAAAAATGTATTTTTTTTTTCCTCACCTAGTATAAGGCCCACCATTGTGCTGAGATAACCCGTTCCACTGCCCAGGTTGAGAAAAGACAGGCCAGGCAGCAGGTCCAAGGCCTCCATCACCTCCGAGTAGATACATGGAGCAGACAGATGAAGGTTCCCATGCCTCCAGGCCAGGTCTTTATAAGCACTGTCACGATAGTCCTCCAGGTAATAGTCCGCTCTGTCGATGGCCCTGAAGGCCTTCTCGACCAGATCTGAGCGGATGTAGTGGGCCTCTTTAAGGTTGTCAATCAGCTCGTCGTTGTCCTCACCCGCACTCACAGCTCCACCCATAATGAAAGCAGAAGAGCTTCTAAACACAGTCCCGAGGTGTGCCTATCACTGTCTGGAGAGAGAAGCAAAACAGCTCAGCTTTGATATTAAAACTAGAATAAAGGCTCATTCACATCAAGGATTATCTAAACCACAGTTAAAGGAGTAGTTCACTTTTGAAGAAAAACTTTTGCTGATAATTTACTCAACCCCATGCCATCCAAGATATCCATGTCATTCTTTCTTCAGTCAAAAAGAAATTAAGGTTTTTGATGAAAACATTCCAGCATTTTTCTCCATATAATGTACTTCAGTGGGAACCAAACGGTTCAAGGTCCAAAAGACAGTTTCAGTGCAAACTGTTCAAAGGACTTTAAACGATTCCAGACGATGAATAAGGGTCTTATCAAGCGAAACGATCGCTCATTTAATAAATAAATAAAAACATTTAAGTTTTATAAGCTCAAAAGGTCGCCTTGCTCTGTTCTGTGACGCACATTTGTGACTCTCCTGTTCGAACTAATTTAACAAAATGAACAAAATTTTTTCTGAGTCATTTGGTTCATTCAAGGAATTTTTTTAAATGAGCGATCGTTTCAATTGATAAGACCCTTATTCATCGTCTGGAATCATTTAAAGCCCTTTGAACAGTTTGCAGTTTGTACTGAAAGTGTCTTTTGGACCTTGAACCGTTTGGTTCCCAGTTCCCACTGAAGTGCATTATATGGAGAAAAATCCTGGAATGTTTTCATCAAAAACCTTAATTTCTTTTCAGCTGAAGAAAGAATGACATGGACATCTTTGGATGACATGGGGGTGAGTAAATTATCAGCAAAAGTTTTTTCAAAAGTGAAGTACTCCTTTAAGTTGTTCCAAACCTGTATGAATTTGATATGTTGAAGAATGTTGGTAACCAGAGAGTTGAAGGCACCCATTCACTCTCATAGTATATTTTTTTTTCCTACAATGGAAGCCAATGGGTGCCATCAACTCTCTGGTTACCAACATTTTTCAGCATAATCTTCTTTTGTGTTCAACAGAAGAAATAAACTCATACAGGTTTACTTTGGAACAATTTTCATTTTTAGGTGACATAGCCTATCCTTTTTAAGTCGAACTAAGACGCCAATTTACGAAATGAGCTTTAAAATATTTATAAAAAAACAGATATAGAGTGGTTTTAAGGGCATGTTTTAGTCATAAATGACATTTCCAGCAGACTGTTGTCTAGCAGGTTGGAAGAAAGCAAAGTATGACAATTAAGACAGCTAAATCTTTAATGAGCCACAGCATGTCAGATATCTGAGCTAAGCTGACATGTCAACAAACTTGACAGGAAGACTCGCACTCGCCTTCAACAACTTCTCCAGACTTGCACTCTATTTTTAGAGGTCAGGCAATGCCAAGTAAAAAGTGGCACAATGTTGTGTCCCGATTCGAACTATTAGTAGCGGCTTTATTTAGAGCAGAGAGTGTTATTTGTTTGGCAAGCAGACACAAAGCACATGGGTAGCTGACACATTACATCTTTAAAATACAGATTTAGGTCCTAATTTTTATGAATGCATAAATGAAAGTGGAGCCTGTATTTTTGGTGATGCAAGTAGTCATTATTTCTATAGGTTTTGTCAAATTTCAATGGTCTAAAAGTCATTGATTAAATTTACACAGTTGTATGTAAAATCATCACACACACACAGATGGTTGGGGTAATATTTTTGATAGAAGTCTTATGCTAAAGGCTGCATAAATTTGATTAAATAGGCTACAGTAGAATCAGTAATATTGTGAGATATTATTACAATTTAAGTTAACTTTTCTATTTAATATTTTAAAAATATAATGTATTCCTGTGATGTCAAAGTTGGATTTGCAGCATCATTAACGTTACTCCATTCTATTGTTTCAGGCTATACTCAAGGAGTAAAATATGCTGGTGAAATTTGAGCTGAAACGGTGCATGCATAACAATAATAAAATAATCAGCTTTGTTTTGTTTATGTAGATAGTAGATTTCAACAAGGTTATTGTAGGACGTGTCAACTACTAGACTTATTAATACAGGTCAAGGTAGATAACAGAAGCACCGCAGACTGAAACATCAGGAATGTGAAAATGGTGGGATGGTCACTTCTATTAACGTTAGGCAAATCAATGATGATGTGAGAAAGTCCACCATTTAATCTAACAGATGAACTATTGGTCGTGATGGCAGCCGTCAACTATTTATAACGAACAACAGTGCGCCATGTGACACTCGGAACCGAACATCACAAGCGAAACAGCACTGTTGTTACACGACTGGAAAATGCACATATAAAGCACAAAGCAGCGAGAAACTTGTACACGGATTCGAATAAAATCTAACGTTACTGTTATAATTCATTACCCGTCAAATGTAGGTCACGTCTGTATTCTGCTTTTTAACATCAGTTAACTGCAGCCTGTCTGTGCACGAGGAGAAGCTAAGCACAAACACCGACATAAACAAAAGAGTCTCCGCGGCCACAACTGGCACTCAGTCCTCGACTCGCAGTCTACATCTTACCGTGTGATTACGGACCTCAGCGGTTGTCTCGAGTAAACCAACAATGTCCATCGATTACATTAACGCGTATGTCATATTTTTGGATCCGGCCACAATAACGCCTAACTTGACTGCGAAAAAATTGATGCGATGTAAACAGAAACCAGCTGACGCGACGACGTCACACGCACGACGACGTCAAATGCATTTTGGGAGCTCTCAGTGACTCGAATCTTTTCACCAAAAAGTTTGAGCATTCAGATTCAATATTGTCGTAAAAAAACAGTATGATAGTATGATAGAAACCTCGTGTGCTGACCAAAAGCTTTATTTGATGAAATATACAGTAAAAGAAGATCTATTTAAAATATATCTTACATTAGTCACTTTTGATCAATAAATCCTTTTTGTAAATCAAAAACTAACCTTCCCAGAACGAACCAAAAATTGTTAGCTGGTGTAATGACAAATGTTATGAGTTCACCATGATAACGATTTTTTTTCTGTCACCGAGAATTTATATTGAATTTTATACTCCATGGTTATACTAACGAAACGTTAGTCACAAAAACAGATAAAACAGACACCCCGCGTTGTGTTTATGCTTCTTTTTAAAATTATATTAAATAAATATAACTATATATAAAATTACATCTAAACGTACGTACGTTTCATTTCAAAGACTGGAAGACAGTAAATTTTGAAGACTCTGCCATAATCCCGTTTTCTTCGGTTTTCCTCCGCTTTAATCTCCACAACCGGAAATGGACGAGCATCCTTGCGTCAAATGCGGAATTTATGCGTGCATATAGCCCATTGAGGCCCTACTGCTATTGTAGTTTCCAGTTACTAAAAGGGTCCCATGTCTCCAGCAGAGGTCAGAATGTGGAAAGCTTGGATTTGCAAATAGCACACTTCCGCCTGTCTGTTTACATAGCCTACACTTTTTTAAACAATTGTTATTTGTTGCACATTTTAGTCATCAAATCGATGAATTAACAGATGTAATCATGCAATGACTAAATAAAAACCTGTGTCAAAGCTTTTGCCTTTATCAAGCAAAAAAAAAAACAAGCACATCATGTAGGAAGTGTATACTCGGAGAGATCACATTATTGACACTTTATTTATGTTTTCCATATATAACACTAAAATGAACGATACCTCCACAAAACAGACATTACTGTTCTCTTTTAACACTGATATCAATGAGCACAGGTACAAGGATACACAAACACTGTCACAATCCAAAACCAACTACACACTTCATTTCCAAAGTTACCTCAAATCACGCACAGCCATAGCTTGTCCTGCTCTACTGAAATAAAACCTCAGCAATAATACTACCACTGCTACAAAAGTGACTAAAACATGTAGTCTATCACTGTGGAAGTGCTTATTATTATTACTATTTTTGGAAGTACCATTTTTTTTTTTTTGTCATTTTCTAAAGGAGAATCGTTTTGTGGCTACAAAATCACCAGTAAAAATAGCTGTAATCTCTATAAAAAGAATGAAAGAGGACAAGCCTTGGCCGTGGGTTAAAATACAAGTTTTTTTTTCTTTTTGTAGTTTACTTGGAAATATTCTTGAATACAACAACACTGTCCTTTATTACAAATGTACAGAATCCCATTGTTGTCAGAATAATGGCCGTGCATAAATGCTTCATCTATGATACGTCCCATGATTATTTCAGACTCAATGAAATGAACCACCGCACAGTTTCATACCTGAATCAGAATCACAGTTTTGGGAAGAATAATACATATGTGATTTATTTCATGTCCAACAATAAGCTGAATATCAATTTCAATATGATCTGTTCTTTGTGTTCACCACTTTGCTGAAATCCTATTACCTCCCCCCACCCCCAAAAAAGGAGAAAAACTTGGCGTCCTGAGTGGGATTTAAACCCAGTCCTTAAATGTAAACACACCCTTTTCTGCAGCGAACAGAAGCGAGAAAAGGCACACATGAGAAAACCACAGAGCTGTAAGCTACAGTACCTACAGAATGAGGGCCGTTTTGGTTATATCAGCTTAATGGGACAAACAGTGCCGTTTTAAGCCTTCTGACTTTTTAGCTGTTATCGTTTCTCATGAAATTACATAGGAACCCTTCTTAATTGACCTAGAATTGGCACAAGTCTCGGAAAGGTCCGAAAGGTGCTAAATCAATCCGTTACCCTACAAATACAAACCCTTATTTGGTTCCATGGGGAGGGGTTACATATGCTAACTTGCATTTGCAGATGCTACACTGCTCCAGAGAACATGCTACATTATTAGGGGGATTCAACACACTCAACCTCGCCGCGCAACACTCGTAGCTGCTCATCATCAAAGACAGCAGGCGTTTAAGAAGCATGCACCGAGGAAGAATAATTCACGCATGCTTTAGGCTATCTCACGTCAGTAGTATTATGCAGATAGAAATGTTTCTCCCGTCGTAATAAGAGGATATGACATCTGTAGTGAGTATTCCCTCTGCGCAGTTTAATAGAAGGAGGAACTCTAATGAAAATCCTGCCGCTACTGATAGACAAGATCTACAGATTCCTCCTAAAGCAAAGGAAATGCTGCGGTGTTGAAATGCAACGCAGACATCTTTCCTGCGGAAAGGTTACAGAGAACGAGGCCGGCAGAGGATCTGACATTCTGTGGAAATGGACAAAGATTTATGCAACTAGCGTCTCCTTCTGTGCGCGAGGGCACGCCAATGACAATCTTCAAGCAAACGCTCATACCAGCACATTTTGCATCTTTTTTTCATTTTAACAAAGGGCTTGTTGCTGAGGGCCAACAGATCTGATATCGTACAGGGCCTTCTTTCGTATTGGTGACTAGGCAAAAACTGAAAAACTTCGGTCAAAGGGCATTTGACATTTCAGACAAGACACAGATTCGCATTAAACAACAAACAAGTCAAAAGACATTTGCGATATTCTCAATTCTGTTGTTAGCCGTCCATTAGCCATTTGTACCTTTTTTTTTCAAAATATAAAATAAAAAAAAGAATCCGCTAACACACCCAAGCGCACAAAGAAAATCTTTTTAGTTGAAAGCTCATTAGTTGGCATTCAAGATTTTTGAAAAGTGCACACACGTTCTGTCCATCACAATATTGCTGCCTTAATATCAAATGAACAACATGACCGCATGTGTACTATTTAACAAAACGACCAGCTGAATAGAGGCACAATGTTCATTTCACGACTCGCTATTATGAGTCATACAGTTGTCATTGCGATGATTATTGGCATTTTACACACGGATCTAGTGTGGCGTATCCCACCAGAACTGCACAACACCATACAATACTAAAGACAGATCCATCGAGGAGAACTTCCAGCACACTACAATGCGTCTAAACGATTAAAAGCCTAAGACTAATCTGTTAACCATTGGCCCATTAAAGCGGATGACATACATACAGAGGCCCAGTGAGTTTGGACCAGAAAATAGGAAACTCTACAAACATCCTCGTATTCTTTGCTTTACAAGTGTACGTTTACATATTACAAAAAAACAAAAACACACGTATCCTGCAACCGCAGTAAACTGGGTCTGTCTTTTATATATATATATATTTATATATTATTTAGTCTTCTATGGATAATAGTACTCACAGCTTTTGGAAAGATATTGTTTCTGTTTAGCTATTATAAGAGAAACAAAAGAGTTAACAATTACACTGTAAAAATATATGTATGTTTATATACTATATATAGTTTTTTTTTTTGTCTTTTGTCTTTTAAATACAGAATGAATATATTGTGTAGGTATGGCCATCACGGCAAAGGAATAAAGGCATCTGTAACAATCCCCACTTAGGCCACGGTCACATGACCCGAGGGTAGTGTGGGTGCTGAATGGGCGGAGTTGGTAATGAAAGCACAGGTCAGTGGCACTTTGTGCATCGAAGAAATAAAAATCTAGTATAAGGCTACACGGGTGTATGCTTGTTTGATACTAGTCGAGTAAGGACATTGTGGTTCAAGAGTTTCTTTCAGGATGGTTGGTGTTCGTCTTCTGTGCCCTCGCCACAAAAACGCCCGCCCGCCCGCCCACCCACCGCTTCCCATTGTCCAATAAAGATAAGTTTAGCAAGAAAGCAAAAATAATCCATTTGCAATTCATTAGGATCGTTCAGGGGAAACAGTTTTTGGCCACTACTGAGAGCTTGAGGAGGTATAAAAAAAAAAAAAAGAAAATCCAGGAGAACGTCTCCTTCCTGTTGAGACGGACGGGGAGAGAGTCAAAGCTGTAGGTTCCATAGTACTGGAATTGCTTTTCTTTCTCTCTTTACATTCCTATAGGAAGTTATGCTGGTATAAGGAAAACCCTCGATAATCATCATGTCTTATTCTGTAGTCCAAAACATGTTTTTTTGTTTTTATTTTTATATCGCCAAAGGTTCTTCAAGACTACTAAGACTTCACAAACACACGAAGACGTTACAAAATAAATATACATTACAACCGTATCACAGTTCATAATTTCATCATAAATATTAAATAAATAATAAATAGAGATTATACTTCTCCTTCAGCTGTGTTAGAAATTCGAAATAAAAAATAAAATGCAAATAGAGACAGCAAGAGATAGAGATACAGGTAGAGAGAAAGAGAAAAAGAAAATACAAAATTATCAAAACATCGTTGGTTAAAAATATTTGCACTTAAAAAATCTACTCTATGGATAAAATTCTATCATCAAATGAAACGAAGTTATAAAAATTAGTGGTACATTTTTTTCTTTTTTTCCCCCCTCTTCCCAAATATTGATGTGGCAAGTTCCTTGTCACATTTTCATGACCGTTTATAAACAGAAGGGCTGTGAATATTTAAATAGGTGAATTCAAATAAATAATACAGTTAAAATTAAATTATAACAAAATATAAATAAATTACAGTAGTCTGGACAAATTTCGTATAATTTATAGATCAGTGACGATCCAACATCTTGTCTGATGTTGAATGGACTGAAATGAAGTGCAACTCATTGTTCATATGTAATAGATATGACTACGCTGGGTAAATATTCCTAAGTACTACGAAGAAAGGAGAGCAAGCGAATGTGCCTGTGTGTCGCTCTAAAACAAAACAACCCAATAAACAATAAAATGGAGAAAGTAGTGTTTCAACAGGTGGGATTTACAGAGTCAACCGCATGGCACTGATAAGGTTGTGCACGCATTCCGCTCACTTTTTGTATGTTTGATTTCCCCGAAACCACTTTCGTTTTCTTCGGGAAAAGAAGGAAAGATGAGCAAATACTGCATATGCCTGTTCTGCCGGGGCTCACGTAGGGATCGCTTGCATTTGGAGCGTCGCATTTGTTGTTTCGTAGGAGCAGCATCCTCACAAATGAGTAAAAAGACTCTCTTTCACCTAAAGCCTGGGCAGCACATCTTCTGGAGGTTCTTCTTCCAAAACTTCTCACCGTTTGAACGTAAAAGCAAAAACTAAAGAAAAACTAGGTTTGTGTCTCTTTTTCTTTGTAAATAAAGAATTTGGTTCCATCTTCGCCTTCCAATCCAGCAGCTTTTGTGGATTTTGGTCCTTATAGTAATATATATTATAAACCTCTTTTTGAACTCACAGAATGCTCCCTGGGATGGAGGTTTAGATTGTTGTTCAAAAAAACCTGAATGCCCTTTTTTTGTGTGTCATTTGTACGCTCTTCCCATGGCTCTACGTTTCTATTTCTCTTCCACGCTTCTGTTCCTCATCCTTGTCTTTTGGCCTAGTCAGACCTTGATGCCTTTCACCGCCTTGTTGATGGTCTCCAGAAGGGCCTTGTTCTCTGGGTTCTGGTAGCAGTCCTTATTGGTGTACATGTCAGTTAGGGTGCTCACGTAGCTCTCGAAATTCTGCTCTGTGATTGGCTCCTGCTGCAATGCAAATCGTAAATTGTGAGTGGCAATTTTAAAGTGGGTAATCTAAATCATGTTGGAGAGGAAAGTTATGGGAGCTGCTGTAGGAGTGTGTGTAACTCACCATGTGAGGCAGGCGGATGTTGGCCAGACTGCGTATAAGAGCTTGACTGAGTCCAGACAGTTCCATAAACAGCGCCTCGTTCTGTTCTTCAATCACCTTATTCTCTTGCTCGATGTTCTTCAGGTTCTTTTCCATGGATGTGATCTGAAGCACCACAAAAACTGATGACTTCTCATCCCATAAGTGACATATCCTTTTAGCAATGCATGTTTGTCGCAACTTTCTACATCTTAAATGTCTTTTCACATTGTAAACATAAAATTGATTGATGGTCAGCTAATTGGATTACCAGTTGGAGCATTTATGCATTACTTTTCGAGATTTTTAGAAAAAAAAAAATCTCCAATGCTCACCAAGGCTGCATTTATTTGATCAAAAACAGTAAAAAAAAAAAACCCAAACAAACAGTAATATTATGAGATGTTATTAGAATTTAAAATAACTGTTTTCTATTTAAATATGTAATTTATTTCTGTGATGTGAAAGCTGAATTTTCAGTATCGTTACTCCTGTTTTCAATGTCACATGATCCTTCAGAAATCATTCTAATATGCTAATTTGCTGCTTAAGAAATGTTGAAAACAGTTGATTAATATTTTTTTGGAAAATGATACATTTTTTCAGGATTCTTTGATGAACAGAAAGTTCAAAAGAACAGCATTTATTTGAAATAGAAATATTTTGTAAAATTTTACATCTTTACTGTCTCTTTTTATTAAAATGAATGCATCGTTGATGAGGATAAAATCTTTTTTTTAAATAAATTTTTTACACTGACCCCAAACTTTTTTTTTATTTACATGATAACCCAAGGTATATTTCTAAAGAATACTATGGTTTTACTGTAGTAATACCATGTTATAAATCATAATTTGTGATCTTAAGTGTATGATCTATGTTCTTTTAAATTGTCTAGAGTTTTATGGCTAACCTGTGTTTGAAGGTTGACCATATCTGCCTCCATCTCATTGTTGGATTCATTGAGCTCGTTGATTTCTTTATTAAGCTGTTTGATGTCTTCATCGTTGTCTAAGACTGTAAAGAGAAAGAACAATTTTGTCATCTTGAGCGTCCACAAAATTTGACATCAGAAGAGATGTTAAATGTAGGAGAAAATGTGGGATGTCTCACCGTCACTTGCTCTGAACTTAGTGCTGAGATATTCTTCTCCAGGGAACTTGGCTTTCTTCTTGTTGAGAGAGGCTCTGGGACAGCCTGAGAGACTGGGGCCAAACACAATCGATTCATCATCAGTCATCACAAAACAATTGCTTTATGAGCAATCCTATAATGACTCAGACTTGGCCAATACCCTTACACCTAAATGTAGAGCGTGTCATGTGCTATTAAAGGAATAGCTTACCCAAAAATGAGTAGTTTAATCCAATTATTTCTATGATGAACATATTTCATTTAGGTTTTTATTCACATATAAACACATAGAGTGCATAACATTTGGTAAACATTTTTTTTAGAGTAAATGAACTAAATGAATAATTGATGATCTTTACAACTGAACTGAATCAACACTGAGATGAACAACAGCCGAAATGCACTTGTGCACGAAATGCACTAAACGCAGTCTTATCACTGCGAAGCTGCTTTGAAACAATATGTATTGTATAAAGTGCTATATAAATAAAGGTGACTTGACTTGTGTGTGTTAAGCGCTAAAACAAACCTCATTGGTTCTCTGCATATGTATTTGCCATATGTGATGTGCTCTATGCAGGTGTCGATCATTGTTTAATCACAGCTTAAATTTAATCTATTCATCACATTCGCTTGATTCAAATTGATTCTTTTAACAATCTTTTTATGACATTTTCATATTTTTGTTACCTGGGCGGATGGTAAACCTCTCAGGTTTCATTAAAAAAAGTGTTTTGGGTTTGGAATGACATGAGGGTGAGTAAATAATGACAGAATTGACATTTTTGGGTGAAGGTGTGGCCACATTTAGCTTTGTAGTAACAAGCAATCAGGAATTTTGAATGTTCAAGTTTGTTTAACTTTGAAAACAGAAACTCAATCCCCCAGTTTCGAAGATAAGGTTTATGCCTAGTCCCAGACTAAATTGGATCTTTAAGCTCTTTTAACTATAAAAAATTTAAAATATGTCAGATCCATTGTTTTGTCTCAAGATTCACACCAGTAATGTTCTTTTATAAGATGTTTATAAAAGCTACTTAAATGCATGCATTGCTGCACAATTGCCAACTTTGTCTATGACAAAGTTTTGGTAATGTGACGGCACCTTTAGTTTGAATTGCAAAGATAATGACAGGTTTCCCACTCGAACTCATGCCACTGGTTGACACAAATTTCACGTAGGAGCCAAAACCCATATTTTCTCCTTAATTACCTGCGGTGGGTGAGGAAGCTGCCGTTGGCGTGTCCCGATCCGTCACATCCCGGCGTGGGACATGTGGGGCCTTCTGTTTTAAAGGCCTTCCAGGAGAACGGAGAGCCATTCAACAAACCCTCCTTCTGCCGCCTGGCCGCCAGCGGGCATCCATACGCACTGCGGTGAGTGGCATACTTCCCGCTGATGTGACCCAGGCTGTCACAACCTGGCACTGGGCATCTGTGAGAGAAGGAAAAACATAATGGGGTTAAAACAGATGAGTTTGGTTAGAACTCGTAAGAGCATTTATCCCATCAGAAATATCACCTTGCTATTGAATTCAGTTCCCATCTGTTTACTCTCTGTCTCACCCGAGTCTCTATTCAGTTTTGTAAAGAGGGCAATATTTAGCTACATACTTTGCCCAACAGAGACTGTGAATATTACAACATTGAAATAAACTATAAAAAAAAAAAATGTGTTTTTTTTTACACATAAGGGAGCTTGAGTGCTGCCATATGCCGGCTGCTCATTGACTGGAGTGGAATTATGTGGATGAAAAGCTCCTACGCTTGGCAGTCACAAAAAAACAAGAAGACAAAAACCCACACACTGCACTGATTTACTAAGAAAAACATAGACCAATATTTTAATACCCCGTGAGCCATCTGTGCTGTAATATATTGTTCACAGATTTTATTTCCTCAGCAGTATAACTAGATGTCTTTGTCTCCTTGCTTTTAGAAGTTGCACAATTGAATAAAACACACAAGGCCTTTTTCCCAAAGAAATCTGAACAGTACTAGCACTGGTTGGCCATGCGGGGCTCATAAGCTCATGTAGAGCGAGTGTATTTGGAAGGTTGCCAAGGTGATATTTAACAAAAGTAGAACACAGTATTTTGGGATCACAAGTGGTTTTAGCTGGAAATGCTTGATTACATCACATCTGTCTGAATGAAGAAGGCTATTCTAAACTGCTTTACACTGTTGTTAAATGACTGTGTGGTTGGACAAACCTATTATCCAATTACTGATCATTCCCTTACAATATTCCCGCCTAAAATGTGTCCTTTTTTTACCGTACAGTAATAATAATAATAAAAGAAATGGGGAAAAGCCTTTGGCTTCCTATGCAGTACGAACTTTAAGAGCTCGGAGTCCTCCTTGTCGTCCTTGATGGGAGTTGTTTTTATTCCACCTTTCTTGGCCCGTGGACACCCAGACAAACTGAAAATAGAGAGTATGAACCTCATGATCAGAGGAGCCAGAAACTCAGAACAACAAGGATCCAGCACTACTGACCCAAAGCAATGTAGAAGAAACCAAACTCAAATACTGTTAACAAAGATGCAAGCATACACCATATCCTTACCAGGCGCAATGCAATGAGTTTCCAGCTATTTATCTCACTGAAAGTGAAATGCTACAAAAATGCGACCAAATCACAGCCAATCTGAAAATATTTGATATCTAATGTGAGGTGATTTTAGCTAAACTGGAACATTTTTCCTCATTGAGATGACGAAAAGTGGCCCAATTTACCTGAATCTCTCAACAGCTTTGTAAAGTAGGACCAGTGAGAATTCAATGTGGGCGGGGCCACTGAGTGCACAACGTCACAAATATTAAAGCACATGGCCTACATGTCTTTTGCACTACTTAACATGGAAGACGTGATTTACTGCTTGATGCCTCGCGCCTGGTTAGGAAACAGTGACCTCAGCAAGCTTTTAGACAAACAGAGATACTGCCATTGAGTGCATTAAGAAAACTGCACAAGATCTGGGGTCAGTTTCCTATCTAAAAAAATATTCAATAATGGGGACGAGTAATAAATAAAGTGTGGCATACACGTGTGTGTCTAATATACAACTGTCACTAAACTTCTCTGTCCTCCTGTGTATGTATTGATATGTATGATATGGAGAGCTTGTTCATAGGGCCATACCTTCTGTGAGACGCGTAGTTGCCAGTGATGTGACCTGAACCATCACATCCCGCAGTTGGACATCTGGGAAAGTGAAGTCAAACTTAAAATGTGATGGGTTATAATAATACCTCTAATAAACTTGCCCGAAAACAGGTGCAGTGTGAATATTTCAATTCAATTACAGGACAGAAGCAAGTCTCTTTTTTTTCCAATTAATTATTACATTTGTATTTAATGAGTTACTTGTTTTTTTTTTTATTAATTATTAAGTAACATAAATATTAATTTGATTGCAATGTTTTAAATTAAATTGTGTGTTATGATATATATTGGCTTTACAGCCTGCCAGGCACAACAGTTTGGGGTCAGTAAGATTTTATTAGGAAATGAATACTTTTATTCTACAATTAAACTGATCAAAAGTTACATTATAAGACAATTACATTGCTACAAAATATTTCAAATAATCACTGTTCTTTTAACTTTCTAATCAAGTAGTGTTTCTACAAAAATATTTAGCCGCACAAATGTTTTCAACATTGATAATAATTAGGGCTGTCAAACGATTAATCGCGATTAATCGCATCCAAAATAAGAGTTTGTGTTTACATAATATATGTGGGTGCACTGTGTATAATTATTTTGTGTGTGTGTATATATATATATATATATATATATACGTATATATATACACACACATGCATGTATATTTAAGAAAAAAATATAATTTATCTATAAAATATTTATATTTATATATAATATAAATTATATATAAATCTATACAGTATATAAATGAAAATATTTCTAAAATGTGTGTGTATTTATACATATATAAAATAATTATACACAGTGCACCCAATTATATCATTTAAACACAAACTTTTATTTTGGATGCAATTAATCGCGATTAATTGTTTGACAGCCCTAATAATAATACAAAAATGTGTTTCTTGAGCATCATATTAGTATGATTTCTGAAAGATCATGTGACACTGAAGACTGGTAATGATACTGAAAATCCAAACAGGAATAAATGACATTTTAAAATAAAAAAATAAAAAAATATTGTTTAATAATATTAAAAAAAAATTATTCAAATTAATAAAAAAAAATATTCAAACAGAAAACAGTTTTTACTGTTTTTACTGTATTTTTGACCAAATAAATGCAGCCTTGCTGAGCGGAAGAGACTATATCATACCGACTCCAACTTTTGCCTGACTGACATACAAGGAAAGGGGTATTTAGGAAACACTGCACCTTTAATACTGTAGGCTAATCGTACAGCAACCTTAAGTTAAATCATGAGTACTGCACTGCCTTAAAAAAAAAAAAAATGACAAAGAAAAGAGTAAAAGCAGCATTTAGCTGAGCAGACCCAAGTGAACAAGAACAAGAAAAAAGAGCAGAAGTAGAGCAGACATACTTGAGTTCAGCTGTGTGTGCTGCCATGAGGGACCGAAGACTCTTATCAGCGAGAGGGCACCCAGACAGGCTAAAAACGTTGAAAAGAGACAAGGAGGGAAAAAAGAAAGGGGAGAAGATAAAGCGAAAGAGCCCAGAACGTCCCAAGTCAGTATAAAAAGCAAAGAGCAAGGCGAGAGTTAAGCGAGAGAAAGATAACATCAATGTCATGTCTTGTTTTATTTGATTTTTCCCCTCTGAAGGCAAACGAAGGACAGAGAGGTGAACCCTGAACACTATGTACCTGCGATGGGATGCATAGTTTCCGGTGATGTGTCCGCTGCCGTCACAGCCCGGAGTGGGGCATCTGCAAGGGACAAACACAGAAAAGCCCGACTGAGTGAAACGATTCTGATGTCAATGTGTGCACAGAAACGCATGCAAACTAAAAGTGACTTACAGCAGGAGCTCTTTCTTGGTGTCCTTGGGCTGGAACCGGACCTTAAAACTGGGGGTTGTGACCTCGCCGGGGTACTTCCTGTCCTCCAGGCCGTCCTGCATCATGTCGCAATCCTCAGGGTCGGAAGAAGCAAACGACTGAGCGCTGTGCTCCATCTGTGCAAAGATACGAATGTATATTACACCAGTTTGCACAACTAATGATAGATCAGTCCCAGGAAGTGTACCTCTTCTAGGTCCTCCTCTCTCTGCCTATTGGGTTTGGTGTAGTCCAGAGGCCCCTCCCACTCCTCTTGTTTGTAGGTGTGTAAAGAGTGGGGCGAGATGCTGCTGTTGCCGTGGTGGATAGACGTGGATGATGATGAAGATGATGAAGACAGATCAGGGGAACGCACTTCAGGGCTGGTGCAAGGCATGCCCAGTTCTCTCTTTATGGGCTTCTTCATGCTTAAGTCCAATGTGCCGTTCTCATCCACCTCAATTTCCATACTCTACAACAGAAATAAATAATGTGTTGCATTTATAATTAATAACTGGGCTTGTAATAATGATGTGATCAAAAGGCATATATTACAAAAATATGAGAGGTACAAAACTCACATTCACATTGCTAAGTTTTTTGGGATGGTTTCCAATGCGTTGATGCATGGTTGCTAGGGTGTTGTTGAGATGCTATAAAAATCTATGTGATTACAGAAAACTAAAACTTTTCTTACATTTTACAAAAAAGTGTGAGTGGTGCAAAACTCGCTTTCACAATGCTGGGATGTTGTAGGTGGTTGCCAAGGCGTTGCTGTGGTGTTCTGTTTTTTTTTTTTTTTTTTTTTTTGCACATTGTTATGTGGTTGCTAGGGTTTTGTTGATATTGGCTTTGCTTTGCTAGGGTGTTCTGTATTGTTTTTTTTCTTTTAGCACATCTCTAAATGGGTTTGTAAGTGTTTGTTAAGGCGTTACTATGTGGTTGCCAGTGTGTTGTGGGTGAAGATGTGATAAAAATACATGATATAGAAAGACATTTCTGTTATCATATTATGATGAGTATTGGGGAAGTTCGGGTATTGTGGGTGATTGTCATTATGTTGCAGAAACTAGGGTGTTCTGTATTTTTTTAGCACTTTGCTATGTGGTTGCTAGGGTGTTTGCAAATGCATTTCTGTGCGGTTGATAAGGTGGTCTATATGTTTTTTTTTTATCACATTGAAGTGGCGGTTGCTATGCAGTTGTTTATCTGTTCTATGTGGTAGAGGTGTTGCTATGCAGCTGCTCATGTGTTCTGTGCTGTTGCTATGCTGTTGCTAATGGGTTTTATGTGATTAAGCACATTGCTATGTGGTTGCTAGGGTGTTGCTATGCAGTTGCTAATGTGTTCTGTGCAGTTGCTAGGGTGCTGCTATGCAGTTGCTAATGGGTTTTATGTGATTAAGCACATTGCTATGGGGTTGCTAGGGTGTTGCTATGCAGTTGCTAATGTGTTCTGTGCAGTTGCTAGGGTGTTGCTATGCAGTTCCTAATGAGTTTTATGTGATTAAGCACATTGCTATGTGGTTGATAGGGTGTTGCTATGCAGTCGCTAATGTGTTCTGTGCAGTTGCTAGGGTGTTGCTATGCAGTTCCTAATGGGTTTTATGTGATTAAGCACATTGCTATGTGGTTGCTAGGGTGTTGCTATGCAGTTGCTAATATGTTCTGTGCAGTTGCTAGGGTGCTGCTATGCAGTTGCTAATGGGTTTTATGTGATAAAGCACATTGCTATGTGGTTGCTAGGGTGTTGCTATGCAGTTGCTAATGTGTTCTGTGCAGTTGCTAGGGTGCTGCTATGCAGTTGCTAATGGGTTTTATGTGATTAAGCACATTGCTATGTGGTTGCTAGGGTGTTGCTATGCAGTTGGCAATGTTTTCTGTGTGGTTGCTAGGGTGCTGCTATGCAGTTGCTAATGGGTTTTATGTTATTAAGCACATTGCTATGTGGTTGCTAGGGTGTTGCTAATGTGTCCTGTACAGTTGCTGGGGTGCTGCTATGCAGTTGCTAATAGGTTTTATGTGATTAAGCACATTGCTATGTGGTTGCTAGGGTGTTGCTATGCAGTTGATAATGTGTTCTGTGCAGTTGCTAGCGTGCTGCTATGCAGTTGCTAATGGGTTTTACCACATTGCTATTTGGTTGCTAAAGTGTTGTGGGTACTGCCAAGTAACAATTGCAATGCAATTGCTTAGAAAAGTAAAATTATGTAATCCGATCAAAATGAATAAAAAATAATTAAGCTTAACAACAAAGTAACACTGCTATTACATGTGTTTCATTATAACACACAATATGTGCAGATGTAGACGGATGATGGATGGATTAGTATTAAAATGGGCATGTTTACATATTTGGGCGAGTGCATATGAAGTTGGAGATGTGCACACACAGTAGGCACTGATCCCAGAGCAGTCCCAGTCTGATTAGCGCTGAGCCACTGGGCCTTTCTGCCCATTAATCTTCCCCTTTTATCCCCTTCTGCTAAAAACATGTCAGGAAATCGAAAAATGATGAAGTAGTCACTCCCTGGGATGAGGAGAAAGCTTTCTTTTCTTTTCTTTTTTAAATCACAATATTGAGGACAGAGCTTCTCCAATTACAGTATAGATCCTATAGTTCTCTGATGGAGGAGGGGGAGAAACAAAAGAGGCTGATAGCTTATATTTTTGGGTGTGAAAAGGGACAAGGAAAGCAAAGAAAGAAAAAAGGGAAAGGAAATTGAGGGAATGAGAGAGAGGGAGAGAGAGAGAGAGATGCCCTCAATTAACATTATCCATGGAAATCTTAAATAAAAGAACATGGAGCACGAGGTCCTGCCCTATCTAGGGAGCTCACTATCAACTTAATGCCATAACAACATGAAGAGGAGAAAAGGATGAAACGAACGGAGGGACAGATGAAAGGGAGGTGAGATGACGCAATAATATCTCAACATCAAGCAAACGCATTCACGCCAATGCTACATTCTCTGCTGAAGATCAATCACCAAACGGAGACAGACTTTATTCAATTAATAAATGCGTACTCTTATAAACTACTAAACATCTGAACATGGTATATGTTGTTAGCAATGTTGTGGAAACTAGTTTGAAACCGTAGCTTGCTAAGCTAAGTAGTTAAGCTAACTAAAGTAGATCTGCCACAACAGAAACAATAAGGATCTTAATTGGGGTGATAGCACCACATTTGAACACATACCAAACTAAATGCAGCTTATAAGACGAGAAAACACCCTCATTCAAACAAATTAATCAAAAACAGCAGTATTAAAGTACATTTGATTTCACTACAAAAAGATGTAAAATTCTTTATAGGGACTTCTGAGAAAACGGCTGATCAAAGACTCAGATCAAAGATGAATTTGTGAATTGTTTTTTTGAGTCAGTTCACAGAACCAAATTGCTCAACAGAATTCCTAACACTACTTCAGAAAAAATGTCAGATTATTGCCTTAATTAGCTAGGTTGTGAGGCACATGCGTTTAGTCAAGCTACTCATTACTAGTCAGAAAAAAAATAGCTTGTTAACAGCTTCTTTATAATCAAAACACCTACTACAAATGTTTAGTTAGCATCACTACTTTTAGCTGGTACAACCCTCATGTACCTACTGCCAATGGCTAATGCTTGCCAACTGTTTTAGCTGAGCGCTGTCTCTAGTAAATAATCTAGTTATCCTAGTAAGCAATAGAAGTAAACAGTATCAAAGTCCTTTTAGGCAAGTCATGCCACTCAGCCGCCACCTTGGCAACACCTCCGGGCAGCTATTTCGGACTAAGAAGACCAGGCTTTTATCTAAATGAATGGGCAGAGACTCAGAACTGCACTTTCACTGGTCACCGGGGAATGAAAACTGCTTGTATAGAAACAGTAATAAAATATGATAAAAATCGCTGAAAAAGTTTGAAAAGGCTTTTCCCCCACAGGTTATACTTTTACTGTGCATACGCAAGGGTTCTCTCGTCTCTGTCGTGCGCGCTCTTGCTCGCTCTTTTTTTTATTATTTTATTTTTTTATTTTTTTTATTACAAGGACAGTGCATATTAACATGACAAGTCAAAATCTCTCTAGATTCAATAATTCGGAATTAGAGATTCGGAATCTCTCTAGATTCCGGGAGATTTGAACTAATTTGCGGTCATCAGGGAGCCGCTATCAATCTGCAGGAGACTCCCGGAACTTCTGGGAGACTTGGGATGTGTGATTTTTACACAACTAACACATATCAAATCTGCCGCCTTTTCAAACAGTAACATATTTTACTGTCGCAAACCTCAACTGTGCGCATGTGTCGGTGGAAACAGACGATAGGCTTAAATGTTTCCCGGCTTAACTATTAAAAGCAGACGATTGGCTTTCCAGCGGGAGGGGTGGGGCATGTGGATACAACCTCCATCTTTGGTGTTCCGGGTTTTCCCTATACAGTTGTATTAAGGATTGAGGAAGTGGCATGTCTCTATATAAATAGTCTCTGACAGTATCCTATCGTATAGTAGAACTGTGTTTTTTAGTTACAGTAGTTTTCTGAGCATTAGAGCATCCAGTTGAACTAAAAAAGTTGATCGGTCCATGATTGACTGTACAAAAAACCCTTCTTGAAAATTTGTGTGCAATTTTTTTTTTTCTAGAAACCTGCTTTATATATCTGAGTTATATGAGATTGTTCTGTACCTTATCTGGGTGTCTGATGCTGAGGTTCTCTGGTCTCTCCCAGCAGCGTGTGGACAGGTTGAGGATCGCAGTGGCAGCCATGTGGGCAGCTTCGGCATCATGGGAATAATCATACCCACTGGAGGAGCTTTTTCCATAACCTACGTGCAAGCTGGGACTTGGGGGGGAGGCCCTGGGGAATGGAGGTTTGGCTGAGGGTGAAAGAGAATATCACACTAGTTAATAGTAAATAGTTGATGAAGAACACTCAACTAACTAAACTAACTAACTTACTCACCACGATAACACTTTAAAATAATGGCCTGTCATTAATAGGTACCTATGTAGGAAGTAATGCAAGACACATACTGCATTAACGCTATATGTGCTGCTACTATTAACTAATATGGAAGTAATATCAAATTTAGGACGGAGGTAGTTCCTTATTACGTAATTAATGTTTACTGAATGAGATATGCCTTTTATTCTAGCTTCATGCATTCTTTGATCAACACTTAAAGGTACGTTTAATAAAAAAAAGCAACATATTGAACAAAACTCACGTTTTGTAAGTTTTGCTCCCCCCAACGTGCATAAGCAATGCTTTTATCAACTGTTTCTATTCCTTTTTTCCTCTGTTTTCATCTGGAAATTCAATCCTATTTCAGAAGATGCATAATAGCGCCCCCTACCGTATAACAGTGATAACACGGAAAGCTGGAAAATTCTGTCAATGGTCGGAAAAATTAACTAGGCTAATCTCATTCAGTAATTATTGATTACCTAATAAGGAACTATCTCAGTCCTAAATTTGAGATTCTGATTAGTTAATCTGGTTTCCGTATTAGGGAATAATAGTGGCTGAAACGTTAATGTAGTGCTACTCCTGCATAGTTACCTATTAATGATGGACCATTATGTTTGAAGACCCTTTCTTGCTGTATGACGAGAAAAGAATCTTGAAGCTTAGCCTTACTATTCACAAAGCACACAATTTACACACATCTCTGCACTGCAAGAAGTGTATTTTACATGGCGTTCATAAAGCATGACTAATCCTGCTCACATTTGAAGGCTTTGGGTGAAGTTTCGCTGGTGTGCATCTTTGGGGCGAGCATGCGCTTGCCAAACACTTGCACGTCGAAGCTTGCATAATCGAAGGACACCTTGGAGTACTTCTCCAGTTCCTTGGCCAGATTAGCACGTGGTGTGGCGGGGACGAGGCTGGGCCTGTAGCTGCCGTGCGGAGGAATCTCCAACTGCTTCACAAAACACATGGGCCTGAATAAAGAGAGAGAGAGAGAGAGAGAGAGAGAGAGAGAGAGAGAGAGAGAGAGAGAGAGAGAGAGAGAGAGAGAGAGAGCGGTTCTGTCATTTTCTTCCTCTACAAAAGAATCAATATCCCTGCAGTGAAGAAAAAAGAAGCGTAAAAGGATAAGTGTAAGTGAGCATAAAAGATCAAGAGTGAAAGAGTGGGCTGGAATTAGACAGCAGAAGAGAAGCGGAATTGAAAGACTGACAATGAGCCAGAGATACAGCGAAAAAAGAAAAAAGGAAGGAAAAGTTCCACAGATAAATAGCCTGTAAAAGAGAAAATGAGAGAGAGAGAGAGGTTTGAAAGCAGGGTGACTGAAGGAGAAGAGGATTAAATAGTGTCTTATCAGCACTGAGCACATTAGCATATCGTATAGCATGGAATTGAAGCCCTAAAACCGACTTCTTTTCCTGAAGAACCATGAGCCCTTGCGGCCGTTTCTCTGTTCTGAAGAAAAACTCTGTAAAGACATGTTCCAGGACCTAGTGAGACTGGATTTTAAAGCATTTTAAATGCTCCGGATTCAAAGGCTAAAAAAGGCAACTGCTACCTATGCCTCTATATCAAGTCAAATGCTAAGGCAGCATCTTATGTGTTCTTTACATTATAACTTTAGTTTGCGCTATAGCACTATAGTTTGTATTAGAATATTTAAGCTATTAGCTTAGCAACATGCTAATGTCAAGTAGGAATTGGTCTCGCATACACAAATATGGCCGCTAAGCAAACCGACTTTCCTTGAAAAGGACTTGAAAAGGTCAAACTCCACTGAAGTCCAATTTACAGTGCCGAGTGCTGCTTCCACGATGGCCGTTGTTTTAAAAGTAGGCAGTAGAGACGGCTTGCTAGGTTATGGAAACGAGCAAAAGAATGCCGGCATATTGGTGTGCGTGTCATTGAAGTCTATGACACTGTGTTCCGCATTTAACATCATTAACGGATTTCAGGCGTAAACCAGACACGGTTTGAGGGAAAAACACGCACGCAAACACCAACGCGTGTTATGATCTGCGTGACAATGGCATGTAAAGTATATTAGCCTCTGCTTCCTGTCTCTTCATTAGTCAGTGCATCCCATTAGCAGGGGTGGCATGCGGAGCCGTCAGAGGTCTCTCTGGTGACTTTCATTGTCGACATCTTCCCTTAATGGGCTTTCTCAGTGAACTGACGCTCATTTAAATCAGAATAACACTAATAAGAGAGGACTGCTTATTATTTTCATAATCCGCATTGCTTTGTCTGACCACAGACATGCTTCCTGAAGGAAAGTAATTATTTTTCCAATACTCCATGCCCTGCGAGTCCCATAATTAGCTTATCAGTGGCGTAATTAGACTAGCAGGTTTGAGGCCCGATCCCAGCATGAAATGGCAGGCTGTGCTCTATTAGAAGGGCAAAGGAAAGGGAGAACTGATTTTCCGAAATGCCCGACCACTCGTGCTGCGGTAAGTGAGTTCAGCCCTGCAGTGAATGACAGCTGTGCTAACCAACCAAAGCAGGTGTGTTTGATGGACACATTCTGCTGACATAGAAGCTGAAGGACAGGAGGAGACCGAACATGGGGTAGGTTTGCTGTTGCTGGGACAAAATAGGAATAAATGCTGATGTTTCAAGTTCCTGGGTTAGGGCTCACCTGAGTACACGGTCAGAGTTTGGGCTGCCCTTGATGTGTTCGCCCATGGGCTGGGGCAGGTGTTGCTTGTCATGACCCTTTGTGAGCTTTTCGGCAGCAGCGATGGGACATCCAGACAAACTGACAGAAGAGGAGATGTGAACGAATGAGTGAGGAAAATACACTACAATCTTAAAAATGAAGGTTCCTTATTGGCATTGATGGTTGTGACATCCCTTTGGTCCCACTTTAGACATTCTACTATTAGTAACTTTGCAAATATGTCAACTAACTAGAGTTTTAGTAGACTGTAGTAGACTGTTAGGTTATGTGTTTGGGTTCGGGTTTGGAGTCAGTTGAATATCTGTTGGGGGACCATCAATATAAAGTGACAGCAGATATTAAGACAGTCTACTAATACTCTAATGACAGTTACTTGACATGTAGTTGCAAAGTTACTTATAGTTAGTAAAATGTCTAAAGTGGACTATCGAAATAAAGTGTTACTGAACCTTTAACATCCATGGAACATTTACATTGTACAAAAGATTCTTAACAATGGGAAAGAGTTTTGAAATAAGAAGAAAAAAAGAGGTTATTTTTAGAACTGTTGGTCAATTGGAACCTTTATTTTTAAGAGTGTATAAATGTCAATATGTGGACCAAATGTACCCATAAAGATAGTAAAAGTACATTTAAAGCTACACTGTGTAACTCTTTTAGTTTTTTCTTTTAGTTTTTCTAAAAACATTTAGTTCTTTCAAAAACATATGTGATCATTAATGTATATTTACTTCGTTCAAGTAATAAAGTATTCTCGTGAGTGTATAATATGCCATTGAAAATACATACGGGTAAGGGGTTCTAATGTCGGTCGCCATGTTGCCCCTCCATCTTGAAAGTACATTAGCCAAAGAGGGACATAGTCGTTAATTCAAGCTTCGCCTTTCGCGTTTACGTTTGAGTTAACGATCATGGACGAGGTCGAACTGGAAGCCATGTTAATCTTGGACTACATTGGCCACCGTAGGAGTTAAAACGAAATCGGAATTGAGAGGAACAGAAACTAATATTCACCGGATGGTCAAATACCTTTTCACCTTTTCGCTAGATGGGGGTAAAAATCACACAGTGTAGCTTTAAGGATCTAGGATTCTGAAATAGGAGACTCTGTACCTGCGGTGTGTGTTGCGGTTGCTGTTGACATGACCCTGACCAGTGCATCCCGGTGTTGGGCACTTTAAGACATTCTCATGCATGGCCAAAACTGAGAAAACCAATAAGAGTGCAGAAAAATAACGAGTAAGACAATGAACCAAAAAAAAAAAAAAGTTCTACCAGCATCGATTTTGAACTATGAAATAAGTGACAGGTTTAGGAAAGGACATACACAATACCAGACGTCTAAAGTGCAGGTTAAAGTGATGCTTTGTCTCTTTTCCTGCAGCTTATCACACAATCAAAAGATGTTTCAACAGTAGTTTGATGTTGACTCACTCTCTGGAGGGATCCGATCTTTGTGTGGGCAGCCTGACAGACTGCGGTGGTGGGGATAGAGTCCGGTCACGTGACCCGTTCCATCGCACCCGGGGGTTGGGCATTTGATCTCTCGCTTCTCTGATCTGGAACTCTCTGTGAGAAGCCAAATACCTGTCAGTCAAACCTTATCTGAAGTCATTATCACATCTGGCAGGATATAAACATACAAAAGACGTGCACATTACCGCACACATTACGCATAAACAATCTCTCCAGTTTCATGCTCTGGAAGTTGTAAAGTTGCCTTTGGGCCCAGGAGAGGGCACATTTACGGTGATAATTACAGTCATTATGCGTGCAGGCAGGTGGATATTTCCATTCAGGATTATTATCTTCGGTGAGGGTGCGCTGAGGTTTATTGGACTATCTACTGAAAAAACGGAGCTCATTAAACAGACTTTACCATTGCCAAAGCACATCTCCATATTATACAGGAGGAGAGAGTGACAAAGAGTGAGTGGGCTCCAAGGTAAATGAAACGAAGGTGCAAGGACAAAGGCAAAACCAAAAAAACATGTAAAACAGATGAGGAGAGAGCGAGAAAAGGAAAGGGAGAGAAAGTGAGAGAGAAAGAGCTTGCATATGCGCTCCAGTGGCTCCTTAATTAAATGTTGAAATGTTAACGAGACATGCACCTCCTAATTAAAACTGGTCGGAGCGTGAGGAGGCCAGTTATGGAGGGGGTGTGGAGCCCTACCGAGCGCTCGGCTGAATCCAGCGCCACACGGACCGGGCACGGTGCCAACCGAGAGCAGAACAACACCACAAACAAAACCAATAAACAAATAAACACGTGCCAAACCAATCTAATTACACACACCCTCTCTCCCCTTCAACTCTCTTGCACTCTCTCTCTCTCTTTCTAAGTGCTTCAGTAATTATAGACTAAGGCTGGAGTTTATCTATGGAAACCAATTCATTTGACCCATTTATACTCTCCAGATTGCTTCCCACATTATTAATCTTGCAGTTCTTTGCCTGAGCGAAAGCTTGCCATTTTAATCTTCTTTCTGATTAATCATGTGTGGGTGTTTATTTATGAGAATTTGTTGATATTTGAGCGCTTGTGTAGGGTGTGTTGAAGAACGCATATGTGCGATGTTTATATAGCACTCTGAGTGCACTCCTGAAATAGTTTCTTGCATTAGAGTGTGTATATATATAGATTCCTCAAACACAAGCAGAAAGAATTTCTGTATGCATTTTTATGCAACAATTTATGTTTTACATAAAGACTGTAAACACTTCATATAACCATACTAATTGCATTGACAATGGCTTTCCTTAAAAAGATGCAATGTAAAGACTTTGCCTAAGTATCCTTGCATAAATTGCAGAAGATTACACATAATTCCTATGAATCCATTTATGTAAGAAAAATTCATTTCACTGCAAATTGTTTATAAACTTTAATTCAATTGATGAGCACGTGGTTGTAGTCAATGTCTTTAAATTGTTTTTTAAGCCACACCATTTTGATATAACTTCATGCAACAATTTATGTCAAAACTGTTGTATGTAAAGTTTGCTAAGACTTCCTTCTACCACGCGAGCGTATATAGTCGCGTTGATCCGACAGTTCACGTAAGAATGGTTTTGCAAAGCAATGTTGTGAAGACTATGTAAAGACAAAAATTGTCGCATCATATGAGTTTAAATATCAATTTTACAGGGGTTGGAAGGTAAAATGATAAAGATCTGACCTTTTCCAAAGCAGCTCTTGCGGATATGTTCCATGTGTTTGCCGGTCCGGTCGTCGAGAGGAAAAAAGCGGTGGTGTTCGGGAATGCGGCTGAGCTCCCGATGAGCTTTGACCTGTTGGGCTTTCAAAGCAATGGCCTGCTCCAGCAACCCCAGGTTCCCCCGCATTATGTCGAACATCTCGGACTCGTCCGCCACCGTTGAGCGTTGAGACAAGCTGTCGTCGTCCCCGTCATCATCATCATCATCATCATTCCCGTCCACGTCGGCATCCCTCTCCGACTCCTCAGACTGCACTTCGATGACCACGGGAGATGATGTGGCGGCCTTACTGGAGCTGTAACTTTCTGGCAAAGTGAGTTTGTGGGAAACATAGTCTTCCCTTACGTGGGATCCCTGAGTGGCAGTGATAACCGAAGGGGCTTCTCTCTCCCCTTCCTCTTCAGACCTAACATCATTGTACTCCTCCATGTATGCCTCTCCTTTTTGCATCTCATCCTCATCATCATCTTCTTCATCCTTTTGTGTTTGCATCTCCTCAGTAAAATACTGGTGGTCTGACTCTTTCTGGGTCTCAGTGCGCATGTCCTCTTCTTTATCCTCCATCTCACCTGTCTTTCTCATCACCCCATTCTCCCTCGTCACCAGAACTCCTACTTCGTTCATCGTTTCATATTCTTCTTTCTCTTCTTCCTCTGGTTCCCTAAAAGGGCTTTTATCTTGCGTTTCCACTGTGACAGGGTGTTGTTGTTGCGGCGATACGGGACCATTGTTGTGGTTGTTGAGGTGGGTCATTGAGTTGGCCACTATGTGCTGATAGTTGGAGAGATCCTCAGAGGATGAGAGCGTGGGCTTGTCTGTGCTGGATGCCTCAATGATGATGCACTCCTCTGTGTGAGACAGAAAAGTGGATGTAAATGTGTCATTTTTAAAGAATACAGTTTACAGTCGAGGTTTGACTCTCAAATGGTCCAGACGTGGATTGATAGTTCACCCAAAAAAATAAGAGTTCTGTCATCATTTATGGTGCGTTCACGTGCTATGGAAAATATGGTATTTTCCACTTGTGAACTGGTATTTACCAGTGTGTTGCGTTCAAGTGCTTTTGTTGTCGTAATGTGGTAAAAGGATGGCGATCCAGACCTGTTATTTAGCTAAAACTATTTTAGATTGCTTAAGTCATCTGCAACAGTAAGAAAATGATTTATCAAAACTCAAACGGTAAATAATATGCTGTATATTTTCTAGATCATGAATAGTATATATTTTTACCATTCACGACTCTCGCGTTGCTCTCCACCATTTGGAAATGGTCAAAGGTTATCTCATCTCGGCAACTCGTCCATCAAAATATTCTACGAGTTGCCCAGTGGAAAATACCACATGAGGTGGTGTTCATGTGCATTTTCCATGTCGGCTTTTGATACTTACCATAATTATCATAGCACTACATGAACGCACCATTACTCACACCTCAAACCTGTATTTCTAAAAATGTCTTTTTTTTCTGTCCATATAATGAAATTCAGTGGGGTCCAATGTTGTCTTTCATTGTGTGGACAAAAAAAACCCCACTGAGGCATTTGTTTTTCACAGTAGAAAGTAAGTATTCCATTGCAAGACTTTGTATTGAATCTTAAAGGGTTTGTTTTTTATTCGAAACTGTTTTTGACAGCTCCTGCAGCTTTTTGTACTCTACGGTAATAAGTAAAATCTCTCTGGGTTCTGTTTTTTTTCCCTCTTCTTCTAAATTTAACAGGAATACTCTTTCGCTTTCTTACTGCTCAACAGCTTATTTACTGTCACCTGAGAGACTTTGGAGCTCCAACATTGACAGCAAAGAATAACCCAAAAAGTATGCGGCGCTTGTCACACTTATGTCAATGATGTGACAGTCAAAGTTGTGAAGTGCAATTCTGTTTAATATGGGAGTTCACTCTCAAAACACTGGTTGTGACTCATAAAAATGTCTCACAGTCTCATCCCAAGACGTCATACAACTGACGCTTTTGACCATACGTCAACATCCGCCGTTTTAAGGGGGACCCTTAAACGTCGGTTAGATGACGTTATCGAATCCAAACCCTACCCCAGACCTAAACCTGCCCCGTCACCTAACTGACCTTAAAGGTAAAGCGTCAGTTGGATGACGCCCCAGGATCGTCATCTAACCGACGTTTAAGGGTACCCTAAAAAGGCGGATGTTGACGTATGGTCAGTTATAGTAATGTTAATCGAAGACACGTGCGTTTTTCACGAACATAATTTTATTTATTGTCCCAAACAAGACTGGCAATCATGATTCAATTGATATTCCTCACCTTCATCACCACCCTCTTCTTCTGTATTAATGCTCTCTGTGTTGTGTTTCGCTTGCTCCTCTTGATCACCAGCCTGCGGTGCCTGTTCTTCACCCTCCTCCTCTTCCTCCCTCAACTCCGTCTCTTCTCCGCTCCCCTCACTCTCTGCATTGAAGCCTTCATCCATTGCCAGCTTCAGCGGGTGGGACTTCCTCTTGGAGGCGGGTTGCTCTGACTCTGCTTCCTGTAGGCGCCTTTTTCTGGCCAACGGGCAGCTCAAAGCACTATGGGAGAAGACGAATTAGTGAGAACAATTGACGAGAAATACAAGATGAAGGACTTTTACAGCACAAGTGGAAAAACAATGGAAGCATGCAAACTACACACATGCAAGCCAAGCATGACATGCTATATGGTCAGAAAACTCAGATGAGGAATGGACGGATGTTGGAAATTGATCTGTAGGGGGCAGTGTGCTGGATGAAAGCCTTTATAAATCAAAGCCAGTTGGCTGGAACACTTAATTACATGACAATAAAAATAAGAAACAGAGAGAGAGAGAGAGAGAGGAGTTATGGGGGCTGGAATTCAATAAAGCCCTCACCTAGAAAACCTTGCTATCGGACGGGCAGCGGAGATAGATCTATAAACATGAAGCATCTCAAATGTCTTCCTGAATGTATACATGAGTAAATAAACATAACTGTAATATCTTTCCAATAATCAATACCCTGCCTAAAGACCTCTGTTAGGGGAAGCGAGAGTAAGACAGAGAGGGAGATTGCCATTATTAGAGGAAGAGATGAAGATTAAGATGATCTAATCTACGGGCTGAACAGTGTTTGTGATCAGGAAAGGCCGTGTGGTCGCAGAGGGAGGTGAGTCAGGGGCTACGGAGCACCACACGGGCATGTCATCTGTCGTACCTTCTGTGTCGAGCATATTTGCCACTGATATGGCCTGAGCCATTGCATCCTGGAGTGGGGCAGCTGAACAGATAGAGGGGGTCAAATTAGAGATGCTTTATAGCTTTTGTCATTTCGTTGTGGTTGTGTGCTAAATAGTTCATCAGGAGCCGAATTTCCACGGACAGCGAGAAACAAACACACATAGATTTTCAAATTTAGCAAAATAATTGCTTCGTCAATAAGATGGAGCTGCGATTGATTTCCGTTTCCTGCGGCTACCCTTCTTTCGTTTCATGAAATCCCTTCTGTCTTTTGTAGGAATCCCTAGTATTTTGTCAATTTGTTTCATTGGCATTTTCATTTATTACCAGCAAAACAGTGCTGAGATTTAAACTCGAATCACGCTCACATGTTGATCAAACATGATCTCTGTCTGTGTGTGTAGTTTGGTGATATATGCACCATGACAGATGGTTTCTGTGGCAGTGCATAGGCATCGATACATCCATCTGGGTATTTGTAAAGTAGACGCACAATATAGATTTGGTCAAATTGGTATCGGTAGATAAATGTGACTTTTTAATGTCATTATATATATTTACGACAGTTAGTTCTGGTTCTGTAATCTGATTGGCTGAGAGCATTTTCCAGCCGTGCAATATTCTGCTCATATACACACCGGATGAGATATATTTAAGCCAATAAATTATATTAACCATTTCAGTTGTATCCGACTCTTGGTGATTCTATGGTTACTGGCCATACGTGAGAGACTGGTCATGAATTTTCTTGCCGATGATTTTTCTGGGGCAGGTCACCAGGCCTTTTATATTACATATATTATATAAATATCGCTAACAAACCCAGCTACATGGTATATCATGTCTTGAAGCATTTATAACTCTGTTCTACTGCAGTATGAAAGCATCTTTCGGTCATCTTTTGAGCTGAGCTCTATTTAAGATCCGTGACAGAAATGGCCGTGAGCAGCTTCAGTGACCCTGGCGGCTAGCGAGTGTGTTTGATACCGTTATAAATTCCACTCTTGTAAACTTCATAGTGAACTTGACAGTGAAATGAGCTGAGAATATGACTTTCATATCCCTTCCTCACACACAGATTTGGTATTGTTGAGTTTATATGTACAATAGCAGACACTAGCCATTTGAAACAAATGCTTATTAGGCAAACAAATAGGACCGTGCGTAAATAACCTTGGGACTCCTCGCATTTGTTAGATTTCTGTTGCTGTCAGTTATTGTGTTGATGACGATTATTGTTGAAAATGAGTTTGTTACATTAAAATGGATTTTGTTTTTAAAGCGGCGTGCATTGTGAATCAAATAATGTCAAAACACGATCAAACATGGATTTAAAAACAAAGAAAAAAATTGCTGCAGAAGAAAAGCAAAATGGCACATTCAACTTTACATAACTAATCTGTCTTACCTCAGCTCCTGTCCAACAATCTCAGAGGGAACTGCAGAGGGAAAGACAAGGAACAGAAAAATAAGCTGAAAAATCTAAAGCTGCAAATAATTGCATAAAACCGCAATCAATAAATCACAAATATATACAGACCCCAGGAGGCCCTATGCAGTAACATTCATGACTACATTACCAAGAAGAAACACACACATATACATATACACAAACACCTGAGTCAGCCAGAAAAAAAAAAATATGCACGAATCAGCACGAAAATATGATTAATTGTCCCAGTTCAGTTTAGTGGTGGAATAAGTGCAAAACTGCAGAGGGTAAAAAAAAAAAAATCAATTTATTTGAAAACAATAAACCTGGTCAAAGAAAACCCATGCAAAGGTAGAATCGGAAGAATTTGGGGTTTAACCATTGCATGCGTATTAGTAAATGCTTTTCTTATAAGCTGAGAGATGAGTCAGAATTATTTGTCAGTATTCACAGATGCTGTCCATAGAGCTGAACTTTTATTGAACCCAGATCATCCCTCTAGAAACAAACAGTCGGGTAATCTGGTCATGCATATGAAATTGTAATATTTCAAAGCATTTCTTTAACTTTCGACATTCCATTTGGTTGAATGCTCTTCTCACTCACAAAGCTCTATTTAAACTTACTGAATGCTACATAGTGAATAGGATTTTCTTGCAAAAGGACCTCTAGAGACTTCAAGAGCTGGATTATTTGAGAGAAGATAATATTAGATATGCCTAGAGTGAACATATAAGACATGCTCAGCTGACCAGTGAAATAAATGAGTTTTCGAGGTGAGAGAAAAAGAGAAAGACAGAGCGAGAGCAAGAGCAAGAGAGAGAGGGTTCACTGACCTCTTCCTGCTTTGGACCGTGTGCGAGTGCGCTTGTCGTCAGTATCCAAACTCATCTGTCAGAGAGAAAAGGAGAGAGTTAAGACTACAACGATAGCGTGTGCGCGCGCACACACACACACACACACACTCAGGGTCATACATACACAACCATACATTCAGGTTAATGAAGTCATGAATAATGTATAAAAAAAAACATTTCCATAGTGTAAATACTCACTGGGAGCACTAGTTCTCTTTTATACTGCAAACACTAAGATAGAGAGATAGATCAACAGAGAAATTGATAAACAGACAAAGAACACCAGAATGACAGATGGATAGACAGAAAGAAAAGACAGAAAAAAATTGACAGAGCGACGGACGGACAGACAGACAGACAGACAGACAGACAGACAGACAGACAGACAGACATACAGATAGATAGATAGATAGATAGATAGATAGATAGACAGACAGACAGACAGACAGACAGATAGATAGATACTGTAGATAGATAGATAGATAGATAGATAGATAGATAGATAGATAGATAGATAGATAGATAGATAGATAGATAGATAGATAGATAGATAGATAGATAGATAGATAGATGAACGACGGACGGACAGACAGACAGACAGACAGGCAGACAGACAGACAGACAGATAGATAGATAGATAGATAGATAGATAGATAGATAGATAGATAGATAGATAGATAGATAGATAGATAGACAGATAGATAGATACTGTAGATAGATAGATAGATAGATAGATAGATAGATAGATAGATAGATAGATAGATAGATAGATAGATAGATAGATAGATAGATAGATAGATAGATAGATAGATAGATAGATAGATAGATAGATAGATGAACGACGGACGGACAGACAGACAGACAGACAGGCAGACAGACAGACAGACAGACAGACAGATAGATAGATAGATAGATAGATAGATAGATAGATAGATAGATAGATAGATAGATAGATAGATAGATAGATAGATAGATAGATAGATAGATAGATAGATAGATAGATAGATAGATAGAAACAGATAGATAGACAGACAGATAGATAGACAGACAGACAGACAGACAGACAGACAGACAGATAGACAGACAGACAGACAGACAGACAGACAGATAGATAGATAGATAGATAGATAGATAGATAGATAGATAGATAGATAGATAGATAGATAGATAGATAGATAGATAGATAGATAGATGAACGACGGACGGTCAGATAGATGGATAGACAGATAGACAGAGAGACAGATTGACAGACAAACAAACAGAAAGACAGATATATAGACAGACAGATAGACAGACAGATAGATAGATAGATAAATGAACGATGGACGGTCAGTTAAATAGATAGATCAAGAGATAGACAGAAAGACAGAGAGACAGATAGACAAATGAACAATGGACAGACAGATAGATAGATGGATAGACAGACAAATAGATAGATAGATAGATAGATAGATAGATAGATAGATAGATAGATAGATAGATAGATAGATAGATAGATAGATAGATAGATAGATAGATAGATAGATAGATAGATAGATAGATAGATAGATAGATAGATAGATAGACAGACATATAGATGGATAGACAGATAGACAGAGAGACAGATTGACAGACAAACAAACAGATAGACAGATATATAGACAGACAGACAGACAGACAGACAGATAGATAGATAGATAGATAGATAGATAAATGAACGATGGACGGTCAGATAAATAAATAGATCAAGAGATAGACAGACAGACAGATAGACAGATATACAGACAGACAGACAGACAGACAGACAGACAGACAGACAGATAGATAGATAGATAGATAGATAGATAGATAGATAGATAGATAGATAGATAGATAGATAGATAGATAGATAGATAGATAGATAGATAGATAGATAATGAACGAAGGACAGATGGATAGGCAGAAAAAATGACAGACAGATTAAATAAAAAAAATAACAGTTAAATTGCAGCGCATTTTTTAGTGTTCTCCTTCCTAACCTTTATGTACTCATCATCAGCGTATAAATGACTGGGCCTGAACAATAAATGTGATTGGACGGACAGAGAGAGACAGCAGTGCATGGCATCTGCCAGAGGAGCGTTCACGGCCCCATGGCAAGCTTGAGTGCTAATTACAATAGCAATATTAACCGCAGCGATAGAAATAACACGAACACAGGCACTCCAAATCACTGTAATTCCTCCCGCACAGAGTCCCCGATCGCTACACTCGCTGCGCTTTCTGGCACAAAAGGAGCAGGTGTCAATCCCTCTCAGTCTCGCTCACACACACACACTCACAGAAGCAGGGAAGTCTGCTCACTGTAAAGCCATCGGATCTTTTCTGCCGGCACAATGGCGCCATTAGCTTTGATTACTTTACTGCGATTTAAATGGAACGGAATCCTTGAAAATCCACGAAACTCTCTCCTTTTGACCCTCCGTGAGCGCTGCTCACCCCGCTCCCAGCTGCCGCCTTTAATGCAGCGCTGGAGCTGGCAAGGGCACACTGCACTTTCACAGAGGAGTTTCTCTTTCACACGCTCGCTTTCTCTTTCTTTTTCATCCCTGCGCACTCTCTCTGGCAGTGCCACTTCCTGTTGATTGCCGACTTTTCAGCACAGGCGGATAATGAGTGTGTTGTGTTGCATTTGAGGGAGTTTGCGTATGTGTGTGTGTGTGTGTGTGAGTGTATCCGGGCAGACAGGTGCACAGACTCTCTCTTCCTCTCTCGGCGGTGTTTTGATCACAAGCACGCGTGAGCTCGAGCAACAAGCCGGCTTTTTGTGCGCCGATACTCTGAGCTCGACTTGTCAGCCTGAGAGGAAAGTTTTCTCACATAGATGATCAAATAGAGACGGCGGACTCAAACACTGAGCGTTGTGTTTGTGCGGTTCGCACATCTGCGAGTCTTCTATGCCCTCTCTGTATCTCTCGAAACAAGCTTTGCAACTTTCTGACCCCGAGCACAAAAGCCAGGGGCAGATGCGTGTCGTTTTATTCTTTACCCACTGTAGCTTCCTCTAGTCTTTCACTGCCGTCTCCTCAGTGTCAACACATGAATCAAACAGGCCGTGAGGGAGCCCGCGCGGCTTTCATGTTTGTGTAACCATAGCTACGCATCTCTTTCCAATAGGTGAGCGCATCAGAGTTTGCATTCTTTTTTTATATATATATATCAAATTCCACCTCATTAAATCTGCATGTTCGTGCGAAGGTGTTTGTGATGAGCGAGACAGTGTCATCTTTCTGTCGTAATATCATTCAAAGGCCTTTTAATGTTTTCAAACCTGTCCTTTCCCCTGCGTTTTTAATTACGGCTGTTGGCATGAGCAATGAGAGGGATTGTGAGAACTGGAAAAGGAGCGTGGGGACGGCGAAATGAGCGAAAGATTTTGGCAGAAAAATGCGAACGCCAAGATAAAGCCAACTTAGAGTGGGAGAACGTCCGTGCGTATCCCTTCTGGTCTTGTGCTACATTATTAATTGTGTCCCTCTCTTCTCCACGCAAGCGGACCGAGTCGCTCCTTCTTGCTCTTCTGACAGCTCTATGTAAATTGCTGGCTGGGGGCAACGACTTCACAAAGAAGGTCACCCCTCCTCCTTCGGTGCGCATAAATGAGCCTTTTATTCATTTTCGCATTTACAAGAAGAGGACGCAACCGGGCCCGGCGTGGCAACCATTGCTGGAGTGACAGGACTACTGACATCTCCAAAATTACCTGCGGAAAGCATCGGCCAATTAAAGAAGGCCAATGCGGTTGCCAAGAAGATCTGAGCCATCCATCAGGGGAGCGGAGTTAACATGCACTCTCACGGCCTGATCGACAACCGAGAGAGGTTTATGTATGTGTATGTGTATGTGTATGTGTGTGTATAAACGCACACTTGTGTTCCTCGCCTCTCTTGTGTGTTTTCTTTTAAGAGCTCGCGGTAGCTTGAGAATAAGCTCGGCTCTGATTCCTTTGCACACAGTTGGATGACGCTGATCAGTCGGAGTTTGGTATTATCTAATTGGATGCTCTTAAAAGCACTGCCTGCAACTGCAACCGCAACCCTTTAAACATTTCAAATTAGATCGATAAATCAATCGCTTCAGATGAACTCTTTCCATCAGAGTGAAGAAAAGAAAAAAAAAACACATTTATGGGCCCACGGGAGAGAGCGAAGACTCTCTCACTCTTGTTTTTTTCTCTCTCCCCCATTAGAAATCTCTTCCAGTGAATTTCCCAATGCAAAAGTGAAAGAGATAGATGGGTGAAATGTGGTCTGTTCCAAATAAAAAGCATATAGAAGAAAGAGTGAAAGAGGAGAAAAAGGGATGCATCCACTTAAAGCCAAAAACACACACCTAAGCAGAAAAAGGAGGGGAGGGCGGGGGTGAGAGAGAGAGAGAGAGAGAGAGAGAGAGAGAGACACACTTTCTTTTATGTTGATGAAAGATAGCAAACAAAAGCAGCTCAAGGACATCCCCTGCTTTCAAACCTCTCCAGTTTTCCTAAATAATGAAAGAAAGCTCTAAAAACGAAATTAGGTTGAGTCGAACATCCCAATTCTTCATAATTACGGGGGGCGGGACACGTTTTAAAATCTCAGCTCATTCAGAGGGAGGGTTAGGCTGCTCTGCCAAAACCCATTCTAGGTCAAGCTGGCATGAACTGCGCACATCGTCGTAATACAACGCTGACTTCCTTTCATAGTGTGCTGACAGACAGAACTGATGAATGTCATAAATGTATAGCCCTCTTTCGCCTCTAATTGTGCCAACTTGGCAGGAAGCCCACGTTTCCGCATGGCGATTGGCTGAGGGGCAACTCACTTTGATTGGTCGGCTCTGCAGTCTGAGAGAGGGCCGGCAGCGGCTGATCTTGTCTCCTCGCGTCCAGCGCTGGTTCAGGAGTTTCCCCCGGTACTCATTTTCTGTTTGAGAAGAGAGGGAGAGAAAGCAATAAATGAAAATGAAAAAAAAAAAATGAAAATGAAGGGAAAAGACAGTCACGTCAGCATCTGCGCTGGCAGTTGGAAGAGTTTTTGCGGAGCGAGGCCAAAGGAGTGTTCGGTTCGAAACGCTGTAACGGACTGATTCAGCAGCGAAACGGCCAGATCATCTCATCACCTGTCCACCTGCATCTGAAACCAGCAGCCTCAGCACACCAAACACAACCCCCTCCGTCCCAACAGCAAGACACACACTCATAAGCTAGACTTCATGCCTCACCCCCCCCCCTCCAAAAAAAAAAATGTTCATTTTTAATTCAGAAATTAAATTAAGTTATAAATTACACTATAAACAGTTGCCTTGTCACATGTAGACTATAGAAAAACAAAGTGATATTTGCATTAACTAATATAATATATTGACAGCCCTATGCATTTTATGTGTTGACTGAAAGGTGCTTAATGTCATATGTGTGAAGTGCCAGTTTGACAGGTCCTGATGGGGGCTGGGCCTTTTACACATGTGACCTATGCACTTCTAATTAAAAAGAGGCGAGAACTAAAAAAAAAACCCTCACACTCGCACATACGCGCATGCATATGCATGCTAAAGCACCCCAGCTGGATGCTCTGTCAGTCTGCTATTAGAATCAATCACTTTTGTGCATTTTTATTGAGCTTTTAGCAGGCAGGAGTGTAAGAGAAGGGAGGGGTTGCAAAGACAGAACCGTGCTGGGGGAGGGAATTTGGTCAGTAAATAATGAATCAACTATAAATCAGATTTTTTTCTCCCCTCCTCCTTTCTTTTTTTTCATCAGGGTAATAGTCCATCTCTCCATAAACCAGCAACCCAACCCCCCTCTGGCACACACATGATAAAAAGATAAAAGAATGTCCCAATAAAATCGGATCCCCTTGGTTTGCTTGTGCTATCAAACGCAGGGCGTATTAAAATAATGATTGCGTTCATCAATGAGCACGCATCAGCCATTGTTCATAAAATCTCACAGCTGACACCTCGCTTCATAACTCGCTTTTGTTTAGCTGTCAACAATACTGCAGGCAAGAAACTCTTAAAAGTTACGTGAGAAAATCTTCTGTGGATTTCAACGTTGGAAACACAGAAAAACATATCCTAACCCTTCAAGCTTTGCCTTTGAGATGATCAGAAGACATCAACTTTGTGTTGTATCACAGCGATCTTGAATATCTCCGTCAAGCCTAAAAGTCATATAAAAAATATTTGTGTGTTGAGTAAAAATTATTGATGTGAAAGTTCCTTCTTTTCATGTGTTTAAAAATATATAAAAATAATTATATATAATCATGAAAATATTTTTTACAGTGATATATAGCCTATATGCACTGTAAAAATATTTTCATGATTTGAAATCACAACATTTTTTCTTTTGTCGAATCAACTTAAATAATTTATGTAGTTCATACAACATAATATTTGGAGTTTCTGATGATTAAATCAATCTCCTTCATTGTATTAACTCACTTTTTCCATTTCAATAAACTTAAAATTTTAAGGCAACCAGGTTACTTAATTTTTTTAAAGTTAAACCAACAATATTTTGTTACAGTCACATCAGAGTTCATCTTTATATATACTATAACACATTTTTCTAATTTATATACATTTAAACAAAATTTTTTTTTTAGTTGATGTGGCAATTTGTTTATATCAAAATACTTTTTGAAGCTATTGTTCCATCCGTTTGTAGTTTTAAAGAATTTGGGTTCTTTTACCAGAAGAATCATCGTCTCTATAATAACTTTTGTTTTCAGTTTTGGTAAGAGGTAAAAGAAACATCTGCCATACTCCTTTTGCCTCTTCTGCTCTCGCCTGTGTCCTTTCTTTTACTTTCCTCTTTACCTTTATCTCAATCTGGTGTTTTCTTCCTTTAAATGAGGCTTCCATCTGTTTCTTATTGGGCACTAAAACTCACCTCGCGCTCTCAGAGAGAGAGAGAGAGAGAGAGATCCAAAGAGGAGGCGAGCAAAAGAGAAAGTTTGCCGTCAGTAAAAGAGGAGCCTTTAAACATGCCGAGCTTCTGACTCTGTCTCTTTCACTTCCCCCTCTAACATCTGCCCTTCTCTCTTAGCAAGCACAAAATAAACAAAGCAGGCAGATCTGATTTGCCTCCTAAAACTCAGCGCAGCAGCAACAACAACAACCCAGAAAAAGACAGGCAGGATGCCAGTCATCAGAGTTTAAAAGCTGTAGGGCATTGTCAGTAAAAGCATTTCCAATGCCCCTTACACACACACACACACTCCCACGCCGGCACGGAACAAAACGCTTATTTATCAACTTTCAACCCTCTTCTAAAAAGTGACTACAACAGCACTACTGTGCATCCTTCCCCCCCAACGCTCTCTCGCTTTTTCTCGTTCTACAAATTTCAAGCCAAATAAACAGAACCGCGAGGCGCAAAGGGCTCTTTAAAATCTCACCATAAACCCGGGCCGTATAGCCGACTCCACACTTTCCGGCCTTCAAAAATGGCACAGCCTCAATAATCCACCCACTCTATAACCTTGATGGCTCAGGTGCCACTCATTCTAGAGGGAAAGGCACCATTAATAAAGCGAAACAGTTGACCCCTCATTTACAGATGGGTTGGAGAGACTATTATCTGATTGGCTCCTGTAAATGTTCACTTTAAAGTATTACACTACAAGAGGAACAAGAGATTAATAAATGATCTGTGATAGTTGTGCTACTGCGAGACGGTCAAAGGAGACAGAGATGAGTGTAAACAAATCAAGAAAATCATGTCATGCAGCTGAAATCCATCATAGTGATGCCGAGTTGTCTGAGACAGGGATAAATCCATAGTTTAGATTAAATAGGAATGGATGCCTTCACGGTAATCCACGGGTGACACATCTGCACTCTCTGCTGCAGTTAAGCAGGATTTAACTTCAACTTTGTGATTAGAGAACAAGCAGAAAGCAAGAGCAAAGGTGAAAGAATAACGCTAGCCCGCGAGACACACTCAAACCTAATTATTACAAAAAAACAAAAAAAAAAACACCAAAATACATTTAACATTTGTGGTGCATTCATTGTATTATTCTTTTCAGAAGATTAAAAAAATCGACTTGTGCCTGAGAGTCAGCAGCAAGTAATAAAATTAGATTCTCCTTCATGTCAAAACGAGTCAAAGTGCCTTTGAGAGCTATACGGGCTCTCGTTTTTTTTTCTTCTTTATGACACACCACGGCAAACACCATGACAACCACGAGTAGCAGAAAGAGGCCAACTCAGAGAGTGACTCTGCGTTAAAGGAGCAATGGCAGAATTCGCCTTTGTCTGGGCTTCTTAAATACACGGACACAGGCTTTCAAGGATACGGACAAGAGGTTAAATATCAATGTTACTTAAAGCTTCTGTTTAGGTGTCCTTCCAGTGTGGAAACTCAGTAACTAGTTGTTCAAAATAAGTACCTAAGATACCTGGGATTTTGGTCTCGCCTAGGTATTTCCGCACGTCTTTTGGTGTCATTCACTCAGATTATTTTAAAACCCCGGGTCATTCACTAACAAAACGAGTCTTATTACTCTTATGTAGGGCTGTCAAACGATAATCGCGATTAATCACGATTAATCACATCCAAAATAAAAGTTTGTGTTTACATAATATATGTGGGTGCACTGTATAATTATTTTGTGTATATATATAAATACACATATGCATGTATATTTAAGAAAAAAACTAATACTTAAAATATTTATATTTATACAATATAAATTATATATAAATCTATACAGTATACACACATGAAAATATTTCTTAAATATATACAAGCATGTGTGTGTATTTATATATATATATAAAATAATTACACACAGTGCACCCACATATATTATGTAAACACAAACTTTTATTTTGGATGCGATTAATCGCGATTAATTGTTTGACAGCCCTACTCTTATTATAACAAAATATCTATTATACTCTAATACAATCTGTGTTCAAGTCTATTACGCGAAAAATCTCCAGAAATAAATGTTTTAACATCATATGCATGACTTAGATTAGGAATAAAGTGAATGAGTGTCATGTCTCGTTCACAGGGACAGTTCACCCAAACATTCTGTCATCATTTACTCTCCCTCTAGTTGTGACAACCCTGTATGAGTTTCTTTCTTCTGCTGAACACAAAAGAAGATAGTTTGAAGAATGTTGGAAAGAACCAGTACAGCAGTAAATAATGACAGAATCTTCATTTTTGGGTGAACTGTCCCTTTAAACCTCGACTCGTTCATTCAAACGCGCGTGTTCGTTCAGGAGGTCCAACCAATGATTTTGCTTCTTCACATCTCGGGCTCGAATGAATGACATTTGCTCGTGCCATAGTCAAATTTTAAAAGCAGGAAAGGCTTAAAAAAAGAAACTAAAATGTAAATAATGACATGTGGGCGACCGAGGATGATTCTTAAAAGATTAGTTCTAAACACCGACCTTTAAAAGCAGGAAACCCCAGTTACCCAAACTAAGTGAATTACATGTAAATCAGCACACGTGAGTGAACAACAACAACGACGATTCGTTCAAGAAACAATGGCGCGGTTGTCGCTGAAGACTAAAACAGCAAAAACATGCATTCTAAATCACCGATCAATTCAGCTGCACGCAATTCACTGTTTCAAGGCTTAAAGGCTGCTCTAAATGGCACCTTTCTTCACTAATGATAGGGGCGACCCTGACCCTCGGCCCCAGTGGCGTGGCTTTCTGCTGTGCTCTGAATGAGAAGAGCGCAATTTGGCCCAGCTGCTCCATTCCACATGTTTATTACTCTCTCCTCTCCGGCAAACCCGTGGCACCTGCTGCAACACTGCATGCATCTTTATTTCCCCCACTTTTATATAGTTTCCTGTCCTATGGATAAACAAGCGCCTATTTCGAGCGTTTAGCGCTTGCCTTGGACAACCAAAATGAGCATTAGGGTTGGTATATCGCAAACACCCCCCTGTTTGAATATAATAGGAATTAATCCGCGGATAAGATTAAACGGCGATCTGTGAAGACAGATTTCACGATGCGGGTGAAAAGAGCGTCTGCGTGCAGCAGATGATCCGCTATAGGCTATAATATCATTTGTATATAAGACTGAGCACATTGTTCGGTCATATATTAACCGACAGAAATAATTGAGAAAACTTGCAAGGATCCCCCCCACCGCACAGATAGCAGCATCCTATTTGATTAAACTCTGGAGGTTCCTTACGACTGCGCAATTCTGCGCAATTTCCGCAAACAGATAGATAGGATCTTGTGAAAGTTATTACAAAACCAGTTTCTAGGCGAGCGAGATAAAATAAACGACTTCATGAATCAATGTTGCGCTTAGCTGACCTTTATTGTTCACAGTGCTGAAGTGGCTGATGCTAAAATGCGGTAGGCAACACAACATTAGCAGCAATATTTGTCAGTTGATAGGCAACATGTTAGGAGATGCACTTGTTGTAGTTTTCGCTATATTGAGGAATCTACAACTTATCTTATATATCAGGGCATGTTGTATAACAGAAAAGGCATTTTAAATGTATTGCATGCATTTACTGAGGTGGTAATCAAATGTAGGCCACTCTCTTTCATAATAAACATGTTAATTCACAGTGGAAAACATTTGAATTAAAATGAGCCGCCTTAACAGTGTTAATCACTCTCAAATTGTAGCATTGTCTCATCTTCTCTTTGCAGGTTCAGTTGAAGTATGATGGAAAGTGTTACAAGCCTCAAAGTATGCTCTGCCATGCTATTTTCATGAGATTCATCTAAAAGATTCTTTTTTCATTTAACATTCATTCATTCATTCACAAATCAACATTCATTAACACAAATCAAATTATAAAACAGAGATGAAATTTCCCATATTTCCGGATCACGTAACTCCTTTATATGGTGACTTACAACTTCTATCTTCACCTCATGAGTGCAGTGCCTATATGGTTATTCCACCCCTGTAGCTCATGTTTAATTAGTTAAACTGATGGTGTTACACATCAGCCTGTTGTACAACACTCCATGTTCTCCTCTACACCATGATAGTGGAATTACTGGCTGCTGAGCCAGAAGCCTCAGACTATAAGTTAGAAACACTTAAAGCTCACTAGCTCAAGTTACTTTTAGCATTAGGCTTCTAGCTCTAGGACATCCATAACAAAAACAATCATAAAGAAATCCAATAAATTGTATTTATATGTACACAAACTGTATAGGTTCACTGTTATTACATTATCACTCACATCTGACTCCCAGATAACACACATTCACGTTCACTACGTCCACCATCTTGGTTGCAGGTGCTTTGATATTATACTTAATACAATAGTTAATGACTATCACATCAGCCGTAATACTGAGCAATATGAGACACAGACGCATAAATCACTGATTAGAAATGAACAGGGGCGTGGATGGATGCAGAGAACGGGCGTTATTGCTTCAACTCTCATGACTTTTCTTCTACGCATCTCACCAGGGGCGGTTGACATTTAAAGAGAGCATCTCTCCACTCTGTTTTCTGCAGCAGAAAATCAAATGGCCACCCCTCCTTCTTCTTCTTCTTCCACGCCATTCGTGCACTCGGCCGGGAGTCCTGCGCTACGCCCATTGTTCGACCTTAATTACACAGAGCCATATGGAAGCAACTCCGTATGTGTGCCAAAAAGATGGAGATTTTATACAACTACATGACAGCGAGCACTTACAGTGCGATCACGCCAAACCCAGGCGAACATATCAATCGAAAAAAAGAAGATAAACACACAAGCACATAAACGCGATAAAGTGGATTAAGAAATGAACAGTTTTGACTAACGCACGCCGCGTGCATTAATCAGTACGCTATTTATGCGCGAGAATAAGAAGTCAGATTTGGAATACTGACAAGGCATTCCCGATTGATCTCGAGGATCAAACCAAAGTGAGAAAACAAATAGGCATCGCTGCGTTTGTACAAGAGCGCCATATCTGACTGTTTCTCCATCACTTTTACCATGTCAACTCCACACACTCTCCGCTGGAGCTCTTCTAGCAGGGAAGCATGGACACTCACACTATCCTTTCCGAAACAGACCCGCTTGTAAGAACTATAAGCCAGCAAACATCTTACTTCAAAGAGGATAAAAATCAAGCGTCGATCAAACAAGTGCGATGTGGATAAAATATGAAAATAAAGCGGCAGCATTCAACGCAAAAGCCATTAACCTTGATCTGTAGGGCATCTCGGGATGGGATGATCTAGATGTGTAGTCTACATCCTTGGCTAGCAAATGATATAGCTAATAATTCAGCGTCACACATTTATAATATCTTTTAACAACTCAACCCATGACTCTAAACCATGAGTTCAGATACATTTCTTAAAGATACCCCTGAGGGATTTTTTTTTTTTTTGGTAATCAACAAAAAGAACCAAAACTATTTTTTATTTCACATATAAAGCCAAACTACATGGTCATGGTTACCTGAGTGGGGAAAAATAATCCCGAAAGCTGCTCCGACAGACGCTTCTCTCGTCTTCGACGTGTATAATTCAGTACGCTGTAAGACAGTTTGGGTTAAAATATCCCATTTATAGATTTTTCTAAAAGAAAACTAAACTCTACTTCAGTAGTATCCCGATAGATTCAGTGACAGCGGGGAAGAGATACGGCTCTTCGCTGGTGCTGCTACGGACGAGCGAGGATCCAGAACGGGGCGGTATGAACGCTACTTGTTTGTAAGCAAAAACATGGCTTCATTTGCCTTTGTCAGCGAGAAAACGTAATATTGACTTACCTTTCCCTCATGAGCCATTGTCCCCCACCTCCTCCCTCCGCCCTTTGCCATGACATCACGAAAGCTGTAGTAAAACCTACAACATCGATGGGCTGGGCTTTGAATATCCCCCGCAATAACTCAACGGGCATGTGTACAGCCATGCACACACTATTTCAGACTCTTGTCTTTCTCAGTGCGCGCACACACACACACACACACACACACACACACACACACACACACACACATGATCGCTCTCCCTCTCTCTAACACCCACACCCACGCTCCAACAAGGGATTTATACAAGTTATCCTTTGTGCCAGAAACAAGATAATCATGAAGGTTCTGTAATGGTTCACCATCTTATTATCAAAGACCATGATAGCTCTCTATGGATATTGAGTCGGTTATGGTTCTTTCGAGATTAAAAACATTTTTGATATTACAACATATTCAGATTAGTAGCCTTGGCCTATATTTGCTTTTCAATCCCATGAAGCACTAGAAGAACTAGAGAGTAAAAAGTACTTAAAAATGTTCTTCTGTCGCATATGCAAGCTTTATTTTCAAGAGTGACAGAAAAAAGCTGGCGGATAAGTACTAGTAGAGCAAATGCGTGTTTAAAACATCAAATACCTCGACTATAGTTCAGAGTGCGCGTCGGGTCGCTGTTACTTTAAATTCTAATAGCGTAAGCTGCTTATTTTACGCCCAGTGATTAATCTTTAATATCGCACAAAAGCATGCATATGTCGCTGGTGTTATCTGAACCCTCCCTCCTGACTCTTTCCGAATGGTACTGTCCAGTGCAGTGATTCACACAACACACATTTCTTGGGCAATGCCTCACTGGTAAAGTTGTATTAGTAGCCTAAAGACTAAAGACTATTGTATTAGTAAAGGCATTGGTGTGGGTATATATATATATATATATATATATATATATATATATATATAGACTGTGCTGCCATAAGAGTGGGAGGCAACAAAAAATGGGACTTTAACACCGTACTGTCTTCTTCACTCAAAACAGACGAATGTAACTTGGAAAGACTCCTAAATGTTGCACACACCGCTGTTGTGCTTTGTTGTTTTGTAACCATTAGTGAAAATGACAACCATTCATTACAAGCCATTTGAGAATATTCTCCACAAATGCCACTCTTTATCTTCTGTCTCCATGCTGCACACGGGGGGAATTTTCAAAAAGCCAACCTTCGCCTTTCAGAAATTCTATTAAGTTCTTATCTCTTTGCGGCAGGCTCTTTTTTGCCGTCCCATTGTTATGCATTGGAGCTGAAATCAATCACGAAGTGTCCACGCTGCATCAATATGATTTGAGTTGCCTCACTAACCGAGACACAATCCAATAAACAAAAGACAGAAGAGAAACCATACCTAAAAAATAAGTTACACTCCCCTGCCATAAGTAGGCTACTCAGAATGAGATTCACAGTAGCGAGAATGGGACACGTGCGATTGCTTCTTCAGCAGTCTCGATGACAACTTCGAGAATAAATGTTAAAGAGTAAACACAGGGAGCACACGTTCAACATTAACGCTCGGCTAGGCTTCAGGACCCCAGACAGCGCTTTGGCCCAGTACCATGGACAGCGACCCGGAGGAAAAAAAACACCCGCCGCTTCTTCTCTTTTGACAGAAACATTACGGTTGGGATGTGTTTTAACAAATGCTGAAAGGTTAAACAAAATAATAACATCGGAGACATTGTGCATTCATGCGGAAAATAAGACACACATGTATTTATCAGTGTTCAGTTATTCAAAAACTTGCAATAGGGTCGACATTTTAAGGGAATTGACAACAGTTTCCTAAAAAATATATAGGATATTTAAAAAATATAAATGTGCTGACGTGATGCATAACGACAGTCGACGTACGATGTTCGTTCAATTACGAGCTAAACTGCCAAAACATATTTTTAAATGGGAGAAATCCTTATTCTGAATGTGTACAGAATGCAGATCTTTTTTTCTTGTTATAGCATAATACAAAAGTAGTAGGCTACATCAAAAAGAAAATGTGTTTGATAAAATTACAAGAATGATGTTTGACAGGGAACGCGTATTATTAAACATGTTTAAAACAATCTTTGTGAGGACGACTGGCAACAGTTTGTTAAATTCCAAGATTAGGATCTTTAGACACCGCACACTATATGACTTTAAACACCGACTGAGTGCAACTGGAATAAACTCGGTCCGTTTGAGCATGATCAGTCTTAACAACCAAAGTAGCCTATTCATAATCCGCCTGAAAGTATGTCCCCAGTATGTATGTCCTCGTAAAGTATGTCCCCAGTTTAAAGCGATCGCTATTTACCTGCACAGGCGAACGGGCCCTTAGCCTAGTGTATGACTAAATTGTAATCTAACTTTTGTGGCCACTGAAATCTTATATCAAATAATTCATTCATTTATGTCGTTAAATGTTCAGTTTTAAGAGCTTCTTTTTTTCAGAAAAATTCAAAGTGGTCAGAAAGCAGGTATTCAGACAGGTTATAACGTCGAGACCACCTTTTCTTTACAAATTAAAAGCAGCAAGCTTAACAGTGTTTCCAGTATGAGAGTATTTGGGCCTATAACAAATCTCAGATGGAAAACCAACACTGTAAAAAAGTTAGGCTATATGATCAGAAGTTATGACGACATACATCGGTTTAACTAGCCTAATCAAAATAGGCCTAAGTTAAGCAATTTTCAACATTTTTTAAAAGTCAGTTTAATGTAATTGCAATTGATATTGATTTTTTATAGCCCTCTTGAATGTTAGCCAGTTGTCTCAATTCATAAAGTCACAACTCGATTAAAGCTGTTCAGTGTCATAAATACATTGTTTTTAATTTCCTCAATATATCCAAAACTGTCCAATTGCGTCGCAACTCCACTGAAAACAATACACATTCTTTAACGCGGTGTGTCTCTGGAGCGCATTCAGGATGCCTGTATAAATATTGCATAAGGGAGTCAGCTGAGAGAGCGGGCCGGAGGGGCCCCAAACTCCGCGAATGGCCTTGACAGATGGAACAAGCTGACAGACAACAACAGAAAGAAAGTTTGAATGCGCCTCTGGGCTGGTATTGTGTCCGCCACAGTCCCCCGGGAAACAAACCGTCCTTTGTCTAAACATTTCAACAGCTCTGAAGTAAAAAAAAAAAAAAAAAAAAAAAAAAAAAAGGTCTAGACGAGGTTCCTGGAAGTTATGACTTGTATGTTCTATATATAGACCTCAATACAACAAGCTTTCAACACATGCCTAAAGCGATAAAAAAGGGAATGATAAATTATAAAGCCTCACAATAGCGAGTGAAACTAGACGAAATCTGACATGTATTCCGATAAACACCATACTTTTGCATGCGTTAAATCGTTAAAAAAACAGTCATTAAAAATAAATAGTCGAATATATTTTGTTAACGAATATTAACATAAAACACGTTGATATAAGACACAATAAATACAATGACAAAACTCGTATCCCAGCAGTCTAAACAACTTTTTAGACACCTGTTAATCAAACCATTTTCGTCGTGTACAGTTAAAAACAGCCAAATAGGAGACGGCGAAGTCTTACTGACCTAAAAAAGTCCCACACAGCTTCATGGTTGCGGCTCCGAGTTTCCCATAAGCGTCTGGCAAGTCCTGAGAAAGTAAACTTGAGTGGAAAAGTTGAGGACAAAATTACTACAACTTCTCTTTGAAAGGAGCGAAGGATTGGTGCCGGATGACGTCAGAATCTGTCCAGCCAATCAGAGACCAGGGAGTGGGTAATTGTATCCTACCTCCGCAAAACTCTCAGCCAATCAAAACAATTGTCTTCAGTTCTCAACAACAAAGCCTATAGAATGCCAACAGAAGGGACTACCGGCAGCTGTGCGCTTTCAGCTTAGAAGAAGTTTCTAAACAATGCTAAAGGGGACAATCATGCAGTCACAAACTATATCACACTGCAGAATAGTTTTGGTGAATTTGACTGTGAATCTCTGTTCATATTACAACCGATATTGTTTTTTTTCCCCCTAATGTTTATTTGCATTTCATATTTATCCAAATCTCTCTCTAAGAATCCAAGTTATCCTTAATTAAAAGTTCTTTCAAATTATATAGGCTATTTTGGTTCACAGTGTCACAATCACACACAGATCCACACATAACTCACACATCAAATGGCCCCATATAATATTGATAGTTTTAAGCTTTCTCCCTTAATCCCTTGGATGACATTTAAGCTGGCATTTAACAATAAAACAAATCACTTTTAATAAAAAAACAAACAAAAAAAAAAAAAAACAATTACTTAACAACCTCATCTGGTTACATTTTTTTTAAAAAAAGAACAGCATTTCTGCTGTCAAGTAGACAAAGTGAGAGTACACGTGTGTCTTAACTTTGTAATTAATTTATTAAATATTATATATTTCATATATAAACATATATTTATAGTTATTTATAAATAATATAATTTGCTCTATATTTATAGTTATTTATAAATATTATAATTTATAGTTATTTATAAGTATTATAATATACTATAAATATTTATAGTAATTTATTTGTATTTTAAACAAAAATAACTATTTTTTTTTTTTGTGGGAAAGTCACGTTAAAACTTCGCAAGAGTACTTGTTTATTAAGGAGACAACATTATCAGTGAAGAGTTTGATAAACAAGCAAACAAAACAATGAAAATATCAAGGCAAATATATACAGTATATATATATATATATATATATATATATATATATATTGTTTTACTGTGCAGTTCTAATCTAAAGTCATAATTTCAGTATATATCACTATGATATTTCATATCAGTATATATAAAATTTTGTGGACTCAGGATATAATACTAGCAATGGAATTTGCAAGTAAAAAAGAAAAAGGTGGCCAATTGATGGATGTTTAAAATCAGTTTCCATTACAGAATGATATTAAACACAACAGGTCATTTGAGACATGCTGGAAA